CTATGCTGTCAAGTGCTTCCAACCATAAGCTCATACCATGTCTCTGCTCCATTATCCGAAAAAGATCGAGTACTCCAATCCCCCATCCATGGCTGTAAACTGCTTCTCGTGAAAAAATAAGCCTTCTCAACAATGCCATCCCATCCATCATCATTCTCGGCCGCATCCACGTGACATGATGTATCCTTCCTGCTGACGACGCGCCAAGTAACCAAAGCAACATTCCAGGACGCCCATGTCCTTGATTGCATCCATCCATAACCATTGCAAATCCAATACGTTGGTTTAAAAGAGCCATGTGATCGCTGCTGATATGCTTCCTTTCCCATCCTGCTGTTGGATGTATCTCTTGGTTATTTTCCATCGCAGCTCAACCAGGCAAAGAGTGCTTGTATTGCAGCGTACTAGATAGCTGATATGGCATCATCCATAAGATCCGTACGTATTGAAGCAAGTTGCTACACGTAAATAAAGCTGCTTGTGTACAATGGCTAGCTGCTGTTCACGTGAAAAAGGCTGCAAGGCAAAAACGCTGATTGAGACAATGAAGACCTTGCTAATGCGTAACAGCTGCAATGAATGCTGTTACATTTGATTGTGGTCGACGAGTGTGCAAGAGCGTGTGTTGTGTCAAGAGACGTGTGTGTTGTAGAAGAGGGACAAGAAGGCTGTGTACACGCCATGGACTTGCCATTCAGTCAAAGGCAATCGGATCAAGGCAATCGTAGGATCGACATGATGGGTTGAAGCAGGACAACCGTTCGGAGGTGGTAGTTGTATACTTGAATGGGGCAATAGTTGAGAATGAGAGGAAGAGACAAGATGCTAGGAGTGGAAGAAGTGGAAATTAAATAGGCGGACACCTCTTGTATAAATGCATGAACACTGTACATCAATCCTTGACATTGAGATTGCTCCTCTCTTGCACCTCAAACTTTCACACAAGATGCTCTTGGGCATGCTGATCACGATGATCTAAAAAAGACCTCATGTTTCATTTGAGAAAATCGAATGGGAGGGTACAATGTGGAATTTACTATGGAGGTCGGAAAGCAGGTCAGCGCCAGATTCATGATTTATCGAAATAGTACGTATTACCTTGGGATTCCCCATTTCGAACTTGTAATTTTGTCAGAAGGTTCGCTGGGACATGCTGATCAACTTCATTCATTTAAAAGTCGCAGGCTTCATTGTGAAGATTTAGAATGCGGGGGTGTCCAAATGGTGGATGAAGGGAAATAAAGAGCGGACGGTCCACCGCCCCGAAGTTGCCCACCTCCAACTTGAAAATAGGTCAGCATGGTGCTCTCGAGCATGCTGATCAATTTTTTCTAATAAAAACTTCACGTTTCATTTGAAACTTTAGAATGCGAGCGTCCAAAAGTTTGAAAGACGGAGACATTCGCAGACCCTGCGATTCATTAATTTTCATGTTTGCTGTTCCAGCGTAGCTCACCCAAATCGGCGCGGATCAAGAAATTTGAATGATGGAAATGCTCGGCTGGAGCAGGACAATCGTTCCCATGCAGTGGATTTTGCAACAATGCTGATTGTGAGGAATTGGCTGATAGCGCGCGCCATATGGACTATTATGGATAGACCATAAAGTATAATCCATCAATCCTTCCAGTCATGCAAAGTAGCTGTGTTACACAAAGAAGTCCCTCTGCATCTCCGGCTGTATCAGGGTCAAGCTACTTCACAATGAACAACGACCACTTCTCATATAGCATCACGCTTACAAACATAAAGGTGCCTGTATCTCTAAACTTTACAATCAAATGCGGGGTCTTTATGAGGACAAAGGTGCTCGGCGGGGTCAAAGCGATCTTGTGTCAAAGTATGAAGTTCATCGTGGCCAATCCCAGATTTCGCAATGTCGCCACCAGCCAAACTGGATCTGGGGGTCGACCTCTTCGACGACGACGACGACGACCAAAAAATATTTTTTGGGCTAGTTGCGACATTGAACGTGAAACTTTCACACAAGGTGCTGTTGGCCAAGCCGAGCCCATTGCCCTAATAAAAACCCCACATTTCATTGTAAAGTTTGGAGATACAGGCACGTTTATGTTTTACCTATGCTGTAAGCGTGATGGAGTTGCTTTTTCCTAGTGGATGGTGTCGGCTGCATTAACGGAAAGATGAAGAGCTCAGTGAAACGGCATGTGGTGGTTACACAGACACGTCCTTGACAGGTTGCTACACAAATGGATGATGATGATGATTGCCTTTTGTGAAGGTACGTAAGTAAACAGCATCCAATAATGAAGGTGTGTCAAGGTATGCATCACATTTGCATGTAGAAGAAAGTCGAGCTGCATAAACCAATTTGTATATGTAAAAAGATACGTATACATATTGAATGAGTCGCTCATCCTGAAACTCAATGGAGGGATCTCCACTTTTTCTCTTCTCAAGCTCATCCCACTTCCCGCTCCTCCTTATTGTATCACAAAAGCCATGTACTTGTTGCATGACCGATAACCGGACCACCTTTGTTATTCCATCTTCGAAGCAATAGTATGTAATCCACAAGCTAGCAACCTCCAACAAGCGTGTAATAAATAAACAATGCTTTATTTCATCTAGCTATCTTGCTATGTACTGTACATTGCCACCACCACCATCCTCGTAGTCGTCCTCCGTCATCATTCCTACTCGTACTCGTCACCAGTCATCAATCTCATCCGTCACACCAACATCCAAAAATACGCAAGTTGAAAAGAATGGGATCTTGCAGGCTTCCTTTTGAATCTCGTTGTCGTCATCATTGTCATTGTTGTAGATGGGGTGATCATCGTAATCGTCATTGTTGTGAATGTCGTTATCATCGTAATCGTTGTCTCTACAAATAAGAAAGCAGGCAAGTTAGACCATCTGGTACCGGAACGATGACGATTTGGTATACCGTTAGGCGATCCTCTCCAAGGAAGAAAGCAAATCAGAAGGAATTCACAAACCAAATCAACACCATACGAGCAACGTCGGGCGATCCCTTGTTCTTGAGAAAGCACTGCACGAATCACGCAAGGCCAGTTCGATCCATGGCAAGGAAGGACTCACTTACGTAGAGTCCAGGCTCATAGTTGTCCTCATTCATCCTCTCCAAAGAAAGAATGATCCCCAATCCTTCCAATCATTTCCCACCTCATGAAAAGAAATCCTCAAGGGAAAGAACGAGCCTATCACGAGAAGAGCGTGTTGGTTCAACACATTCACAAGCTGTTGCAAATCCCCTTTTACCTCAACACGGTGACCATGCTCTTCCAACAACCCATCGTCGTCGACCCATCAACTCAAATGCAGGTCTATAGAGCCCTGGACGCGTTGCGAGAAGCTTTTCCAGCACACTTGGCTAGTGCAGAGCGACGCAGCGGCCACTTGATACAGGCTGGGACTTGAACCCAAAGAGATGATGATGATGCCCCCAAGTTGCATTGCCTGACCAAAGAAACCTATTCAATTCATTATTAGCACACATACACAATAAACACCCTTTTCATTGCTTGTTTCATTGCACTTGCATTTTCCATATTCACAAAGACGCGTTGTTGGTGGTTACTGGAAACCGAAAACCATGGTGTAGTAGTGCAGTTGAGCCGAAACCAAATGCCAAACCAGCCAACGTCTTGAGACCAAATTTGCCCTCTACACAAGCTGACACGTCAATGGAACCAGTTCGGCTGCAACATTGGACTCTGAATGTACCTGTTGACACCAAGCATAGAGCGGGAATAGCAACGAACAAAGGAAGCAACGGTATCGCCATGGCAACCACGCACATTCTTCAGCACTTGGACACACTCACTGTCCCTGACAATGCATGTTCAGAACTACATTAACATCTCACAGCCAACAAGAGCACTCTTCTATAATACATTACCTTGATCGAGATGTCGTGAATGGAATAAGGAAAGGTGGGAGAAAAAGAAGAGACGCGTTGTCTCAAGTCGTGGAGCTGCTGTCCCCAAGTTTAAATCCCCCTACTGCTATTACACTGAGGGCACTCCACCCATCGTCATCATCACCCTCACGATAGACAATAGGTACACGTAAATGAAAGAAATGATGATCCTCACGTATAGCAAAAGGGTGTATGCCATTTTACACTTTACATGATAATGATGATGATCCAACAACAGCCATTGTTGCCATGCTACCATGTCACCTCGAATCAAGAAAGTTGAATGATGGGCATGCTGGGCTGGAGCAGGGGAATCGTTCACATGCATCGGTTTGGGCAAAAAAGGTGATTGGGAGGAATGGGCTATCAAGTAGCAGTTTACATATAATCAATCAAATTGATTTCTCTGATTTTGGATGATACTTCTGTGCATGAGTGTTTTTCAGTCAAATCCCATTGGATCAAGAAAGTTGAAGGATGGAAATGATGGGCTGGAGCAGAGCAATCGTTCGTATGCATCAGATTGGGTAACAAAGGTGAATGGGAGGAATGGGCTATTAGCAGGCAGTTTACAGATAACTTACCAATTTGATCCTTCTGATATTGGATGATGTTTCTGTGTTTGAGCGTAACTCAACCAAATCCTCTTGGATCAAGAAAGTTGAATGATGGGCATGATGAGCTGGAGCAGAGCAATAGTTCACATGTATTGGTTTGGGCAACAAAGGCGATAGGGGCGGAATGGGCCATTAATTGGTAGTTTATGGATCAAAAGTTTATGTACGAAGCGCAGAAAAGTAGCAGCTAGTCTATGTAATGAAAATAATACTAATCTTTTACGGTAGACAACTAAATCATGCATGATCTATATAATGCATTAAGGCCATTGAGTGTAAGAGTGATGTCCGAGTCACGTGTAAAGCAACGAGAGAAAAAGTACAGCAACACTCTCTGCAAATCCAATTTGCCGACGACTATCATGTTTCTCCTTTCAATCGCACGTAGAGATCCTTCAAAACTTTGTATACCCACCACCGTCATTACACGATGTCAATCCCATTGGCTACCTAGGAAACGATTGTCTCGTACTGCAATGGACGATCTGCGTCAGTTGAACAGTAGGGTACATAACGAGCAAGTAGCTGGCACTGCAACGAACCATTTTTAACACGCTCTTTACAGGATCCACAGACGTATAACATTGAGGCATTGGCAGCCAAGTTTCATATATCGCATGATGCTGTGAAGCGTATATTGAAATCCAAGTTTAAGCCTGACCAGGAGATTGCACGTCGACAAGAAGACAAGCGCTATAAAGCCATGGGTGAACGCCAACGAGCATTTCGGAAACATGACAACAATAATGCAACAGCCAAAGGATCACGAGGTGGTTCATCTCAACAACTACCATAAAGAATGAAAGAACCGTGCTGGTGTATATGTATATAGACTCTCTCCATATTACTAGTAAAAATGCTATTCGCTTCCTTTGTATGATCACAATGCATGAAATCATTTGATGATTGGGAATGATGTATTATCCGTATCATAGCGACGTGGTGTGGTATCCAAGCAATTTGGTAACGCGCGACATGTTTAGGTTGTCGTAGTGGCGACGAGGTCAATAGAGCCTCCCAATGTGGAAATGGACTTTATTCAGTCAAGCAAAGAAAGAAAGAGAGAGAGAGAGAGAGAGAGAGAGAGAGAAAAAGAAATAGACGTATGATGCACTTATTCGTTCTTTTCAGCAGCCTATTTGCATATGCATGTGACCGATTGTCAATAGGAAAGCTCTCACTACAACCCTCTCTGAAACTCGTGTCGCCCAATCAGCTTTTACTTACAGCCTTTTCAGCTTCATAGCGCTTCTTGTCTTCCTCAGCCTTGGCAACGTAGGGCTAAAAGAGAGCAACAGATCAGTCATGATTAAATCAAGTATGCATTAATTTTACCTTTTTGTCTTCATCAGTCATGTTCTTCCACTTTTCACCCAAAATCTTGCCAATGGTACCTATGACAACCATCAGATCGCGTCAAAATCGCGTCGCTTTTCCTTACCGAAAGATGCATCAGGGTTCTCATCCTTGACCTTTTGACGGTTTGCTTGGGAAAAGAACATGTAGGCGGACAAGCTACGCTTGGGACCGGTCTTTTTCTTTTCACCCTTTGAAGAACGCTTGGAGGTTTCCTTTGGCATGTTGACTAGCATACAAAAGAGAGAAGCGCGGTCAGCAATGAAGAGATGGGCATCATGAACCAGATGGAGAGAAGCGTAAAGAGCGTCAAGGAAAAAAGTGTATGTGTATATGGGTATTTCAGGGACACGCGTAATAAAAACAAAAACTTTGCTGTTGACCTTTTTTTTCTTTGGAAAAAAGCAAGAATGATATCAAAGCATAGACTCACCTATATAATAGACAAAAACACGGTGCGCGTTTGGAGAAGAGAAGAGAGGATAGGAGGGGCACCAGAGCTAAACTTTTCTCTCGCGCCCACAACCAAGGCCCCAAAGTGAGTCACAGCAGCAGATAGCGTGCTTTCCACAACCCCCCGCGCGTTGCGCGCATCATTTTTCCCGTTCATGCAGCTCGACGAATAAAATAGTATCCTCGGAGATCATGGTTGCCATGAACACAAGAATCACCCTTTTGATCCCAACGGAACGTGTTTTCCTTTCTTGTATCTTTTCCTATGAGCCATCCTTTATCCTCCTTGTATCATGGAAATAAACCACGATTGCATGTGTACGTGTGTGTGTGATTGACTTGCAAGGCACAGATCTCTAACTACGACGGAGTTGATTGAGGAGATTGTTGTGGCCTATCAAATTATACAAGCGACCCCATTGTACGCGCAATGATAACAAAGCCAAAAGTTTCTTGGTATGAAATAACGTGTAATAAGAATAATAATCAGGCCATGGCCACAATAAACACACATACATATATATATAATACACCCAACGACAAGTCATGAATTGCTTCATTATGAGCAACTCCGATCTCAGGGTCGCAAAAAGGGGAAAAGGTAGGGGCTAGACCATGGATCACGGGACCCGATCAATTATACATGTACGAGATGATAGAATGGTAGCTATTTACACAAGGTACAGGAAAAGTCTAATAGTGTGGTGGTGGTGAGGTTGGAGTTGTCGGTGAGGAAGGTGGTGACTTTTGATGATGATGAGCATGAGGAGCAGCAGCAGGTTCATTCAACGGTGGTGGTGGTGGTGGTGCTGTATTATCGCTTGGATAATGTTGTTGTTGTCGACTATGTGCGATTTGTTCTATGGCTCTAGCTTGTTGTTCGTTTTCGTTTTGTAGTCGTTTACGCATTCCTTTGACGCTTCGTACGATATACCAAGTAACCAGCGCTAAAACGGCGACACCCAGTACAACGACTAATGCAATACGACCATGTTGTTCGAGCCAGCTCTTTTGTTCAGGTTGTGAAGAGCCCTCGTTGGGATTCCAACCAGTGGGATCAACGACTTGCTGAGCCTGCACCTGTCCACCTGGTGCATTTGCAGAAACGACGACCACTACAACTACCCAAAACCACCACCACCAACAACAACAACAATGGCTGGAGCTTGTTGGCATGGGTAAAAAAATGTGAGAAAACCGGAGGGAGAAAAAAAGGACAAAAAGTATCACCACCCAATGTTGGAGGCTAAAAATAGGAGAGTAAAAAAACCGTTACGTCGTACGGACATTGTAGGTTTTCTTCTTTCTCTGCTTGCTTGTCAATGCCTAGTTGTATAGTACGTCCACCAATGCTACTATATGATCACCATCGTTTATGATACATTGATCATGTTATCCAACATTTCCCTTCTATCCATGCTCAAGAGTAGGTCTCTTTTTCCTCTTAAACGGCAACGCAACAACGATGCCAAGTGAAGCAAAATAGTAATGGGATCCATCGTAGAATTGGCACCCCCTTTTCTCTAATATCGATATGGAACGTTCAGAACATGATCGGCTAGTGAGAATGGATGGATAGGTAAGAAATGAAGCAAGTTGAAAGCGAGGCGCTGTTGATGGGATCCTCCTTATAACACGGTTGCCGGTGTGTCAGGTTGCTGCATTTGCCACACACAATGATGCCGATCTTGAGCTGCGTCCAATGTCGTAGTCATAATGCCTTCCTTCCATGATGAGGGGGGGGGCGCTGCTCAAGATAACTTAATCTAGTACATCTGAATGCATGATGATGGCATGTGGAGATAAAAAGAAAGAAGCCACGCACATGCATGTTACTTTTGAAAAAGAAAACAGAAGCTTGGATAATGAACAATGAAAGCAATGTAAACACGCACACACACATGTTGTTCGGAATGTAAGCCGATATCGGACCGAATCTTCCGAGCAAAGAAAAAAGTTTTTGGGGGCAAACAAGCGATCAAATGATTTCAATGACTCTTTTTGTTAGTAGAGAATGCAAAATGGGTGATAATAGTGGTGGTGGTGGTGGCAACAATCATATGATGGAATAAGGCATGTACATGTGATCTTGTGCAAACGAATGGGCGTGTGTGTTTGTGTGTGCGTGTGTGTGTGTTTGTGGTAAAAGTAAGAACATAATTAGAAGATGTAAAAAGGAGCTATATACAAGAAGAAGGATACACAACGGAAGCATAAGTAAAGAAAAAAGAAGGAATGTTGTAAAGAGGGTAATGTGAGATGATGATGATGAAGAAAGATGATGATGATTGTTTGTGTGTGCGTGTGTGTGGATGCTGATTGGATCCTAATGAAGTTGTCTCGACGATTCCATCTTGACTTGATATTCAGAAGGAGGAGGAGGAGGATGCATCACTGTAATGACGGCATATAATATCAGCATCAAATCACGTATGTGCAAGGAAATGCCTATTACAACCCACCTTTTGTACACTCGTTTCCATCACCTGCGCCCATCATCATTGTCATTGGATATGATTCAACTGTAAATTACCCACCATCAGTGAACGTGGTACAAGCAAAAGCATAGTCGGCGGACTTACCCGGCATGTGTGTATAACTTGCCGAATCGCTATCATCATCATCATCATAGTAAGAGAGGGTGGCACCCACAGGTGGTGAATGATTGGTAAACGATGATGATGGTGCTGGTGCCATGTACATGTTGTACGAGGATGGTGCTCCTGTTGCTGTCATTGGTCTTGATATGGCTGCTGCTGTAGCTGCTGCTGCTACTGCTGCTGCAGAGGAAGAGGAGGAGGATGACATTGGCGGCGGTTGCTCCCATCCAAGGAATGCAGGCGATGTCATAAATAACTCATCATGCTCTGAAGATGACACTGATTCACCAGAAGACGTTTCACGACGCTTCTTGAGTTGTCGTTTCATCCGCCTGTTCTCCTTCAGTAGCACACGGATCTGATATTGATAATGCTCTTCTTTGGCCATCGTACTCCGCACTAGAGATACAAAGTCAGGTATACATTGTATTTTGGCATATGACGACTATTACCATAATCCAGTGTTCTTTCGATAATGGTTCCTTTGGAAGGCCTTCGATCGTTTTGGAGATTGGGAAGCGCATGAGCAAGTTGTTGGAATTTGGAGTTGAGATTTTCACGGCGCGCACGTTCGATCGCGTTGTGTTCAGCACGACGTTCAGCTTTGGAAGGTGTTCTACTCTCATTTTGCAATGAGCGTCGTCGTTGGTTATGGTAGCTTAGACTCTTACCTCTTATTTGGACTTTTAAGTAAATCAGCTGGTTGAGATGGTTGATGCTGTTGTTGCTGTTGTTGGGCAAAAGCTGAGTGAAAGATGTACAAGCGAGTGAGTGGAGTGAGCTGAAAAAGAAATGATAAAAAGAAAAAAAGTTTACCATTCTGTAACAGTGCATGACGCATATTGAGTTGCTGGATACGCTGTTGTTCAGGATGATGTTGTGATGATACTGCAGGTCCGTGTGCAGAAAATTGAGGCATTGGAGGATACATTATTGGCTCTTGGTGATAAGATGCAGGATCGAAAAAAGTGGGCGGTGCTGCCGCCGCTGCATTTGGGGTATAAGGCAAAGATTGTGGTTGTGATTGCCCTTGTAGATTCATGAAAAAGTAAAAAAGTCAAGAAGAGAGTAGAGGAAAAAAAGAAATATCGGAAGATCGTATTATATAGCAAGGCTTGTGTACGTAGTGGTGGAGGTGGCAGTGGTGATCTGAACAAAAGCAACGTTATACAGCGAGGTCATGGGGCCCATCACCATGAGTCGTTTGTCCGAGAAAAAGAAAAAAGAGCACCATGTAATATTGTACCCGTGTGTATGTGTGTGTTTGCATGATCCGGGCTTCTCCTGTTATGTTTCTTCTCTCGTATTCGCCGGATGACGAGAAATGAGCTTTTTAGCAACCGGGTTACCATAACAAGTGGATCCGCCTTTGTTGAGTTGGGCTTATCCATGGAAGTCTTTTAGATTTCCCAGGACGTAACCCGTTCCACCGCAGGCGGAAAATCATTTACAGGTAGCCCCATGACTCAAGTCGAGAACACTGTGCAACTCGAATGACTCTCCACAGCATAGTATGGTAGCATCAAAGATCACCGTGTGCATGGATTGTAGAACCGATGACCAGATAAAGGTTACAACCATGGCCCTTGCATCGTCGTTTGGCATTGCTGATCACCTTCTCTGATTAGATTCATTATTCTATTTTCTTTATTTCGGACTCATTGGCCGGAAAGGGAAACTATGTGTCACGGCATCCCTATCCAGAACTTCAACTCTACCCTCCTTTCATTGTAGCATTCATTGTGTTCATTCATTCAATTCAATTCATGTATAAAGAAAAGAGCATGGTTTATGTACAAGCCTTTTCATAAAAGGCAAAACAAAATGAAAGAGCAAACTTGAAGATGTAGGGGTGTGTGTGTTGTGATGGTGATGGTGAGAAGAATGAAAAAATGTTCAAACGATGAAAGAAATTAATGAAATCAAAGCTTATACAAGTTGCTTATGGAGAAAAAGAAAAAGATGAAAAGCGGCATAAACAAGGGAAGAGAAGAGAGAAAAGAGGGATCATGCAATTAGATAAAATCTTGCAAGTACGTAGAAACGGTGGAGGAGGAGGATGGAGAAGAGGAGCGTGGAGAAGAGGAAGCTGTCGACTTGTCCTTGCCAGTATGACGATGGATGCGAATGTGTTGGTTAAGGTTATCCGAGCGAGAGAAACGTTTGGAGCAAGAATGATATGGGCATTCAAATGGCTTCTCAAGCGTATGAATGGATCGGATGTGACGCTTAAGATGTTCAGAACGCTTAAACACCTTTCCACAATCATCATGTTCACAAGTAAACATCTTTTGACCAGCAGCCACGCTTGGGTTATTCGACACACGACGACCACGAGAGCGTGTGGATTTGGCCTTGCTATTGCGCTTGGTCACCTTGGCGGTGTTGTTGTTGGTAGGGGACAATGCGGTAGTGGGTGGCGAATTGCATTCGCTGCTGCTGCTGCTGCTGTTGCTACCATTACTGCTTGCTGCACAAGTGGCCATGTCACCATGTTGTGGAGGCAAAAGGGTATCATTGAGAGCCGTGGTATCCATTAAAAAGTCTCCAAAAACGGGTTGTTGTGGGATAGGCCATGTTGCAGCTGCTGCAGCTGCAGCACCATAGTAATCCAGAAATCCGCCTGCAGCACCACCAAACATTGGTTGCTGCTGCTTGTGTTCCAGGGGTTGTGGTTGATGCTGTTGTTGCACATACACGTATTCCTCATAGTCATTGGCAGGAGAGGGTGTTTCGGTATCGGATAAGCTTGCCTCGCTTTGGTTGGATAAAAGGTCGGCATAGCTGAAACGACGCATCACGTCGTAATCGTTTTGCGAAGGTGTAGGAAACAAACAAGATCCCAAAAAGCCGCAATCGCCAGCGTTAGCAGCTACTGTGGAGGAGGGGACCTCAAAGGATTGTTGTTGAGAAGCAACTTGAATGTGGTGCGAGGGGGAATACATGATCGAAGAAGAAAGGACAAGTGATGGTATGCTATTATCATCATTTTATATCAGCATTGAATGCTTTAATCAGTGATTTCCAGAACTTACCAAGATGTGAAGGTGGGGGGTAAATGTACTTTTTTGTGTGTGAACGAATGTGTCGCGAAGGTTGTGCCAAGTACTGATCTTTGTCAAAAAGAAAACAGGGTAGGCGCAATGAATGAAAATGGCGTTGAAAAGGAAAGCTGTTGTTGTTGAGCGTCGACTCTTGTATGCAAAATCCAGGCAAGCCAAGACAAAGGATGGACATCTTTTATACAAAAGCGACGAGTGGGAATTATTTTTAGTGCCTTGCATATACTCACACTCATCTTTCCGACCTAAACGTACGGTAATGAGGAGATGATGCTTTCCTAAATAAGCATGCATAACTGGTTTTTTTGCTCTAATCAACAAGCACCTGGTTGCATGCGACTCAACAATCAAATATCACGATCAGCATTGGCCGTTTTTAGTTGCTTTTCATTGGTGCTTGATTTCATTTCCACATGTATGTGGCGCTTTCATTCTTTATTTCCTCACAAACGCCGTCATATTGGAGAAGAAGGGACATGGTGGCAAAAAGGCACGCATTCATATAAAAGACACATTATGGATCAAGATGTGGAAAACAACACGTTATTGCAACACACGCACACACACACAAGTTCTTTGGTTTTTGACGACCCTGCAAGTCAATGATCTGCAAGAACGCGCGCTACACAGTGCACATGATGGGGGGTATAGCAACCAAAAAGGAGTCAAGCGAGTGGGGCAAACTACCAAAGAGGAAAGGAACGGGCTGAGCTCCGACCCATCAAGTGTGTGTGTATACTCACGCAGGATTGCGGGCATCATCCTATCCCTAATCTTTTTGATGGGCTCATCATGCGTGGGGTTTTTACTGTATACGTGATAGTAGTAGTAGTAGTAGTGGAGATGCACAATGGAGATGGGAAGATGCCCAATTCTATTCATGGGCCGAAGGTCTACATATTCCCCTTTTCGCTCTCTCTCAGGTATGCATTCTTGTGCAACAATAGGATGATGAATGATTACAAGTGAGTGCATTGGCCACACAAAATAAATTGTAGTCATCCGAGTATGCAGAATATGTATCTCAAAATGACACCTTTGAATGAGATGATGGATTATGATAGATTGGACGTAAGCGAGCTAATTAATTGGGTGCTTCACCACCTGTGCCAGTGCCATAAAAAGGCTGCAGCAATCCAAAGGGATTAGGCAAGGGGGTCATGCGTTATCCCATTCTGATTTGTGCATGTGTATATCTGTCATTGCATGTTGTTGTTGTTGTGTACATGTGTAGCCATCATCATCGTTCACTTTTTTCTAAAGTCTAAAGAAGAGGAGGGCGTAATCGATCAAAACAACACGTTGGCGTTTGTGTCATCCACCATCACCATCATCACTATCCGCCAATGTTCTTTTTTTCCAACAGGGTCTTCCCTTGCGGAGTACTTGATGGTAATGGTTTCTTTCCTTTCGGGGAACAACGACCTGCATTGCATCGTTTCCGATCCGGATAATGGTTAGACAAAAGAAACACCTATGCGAACAGGTGGTAGCACTTTTTTTCTTTTTGCTCCCAGTGATGATGCACATACCACATGCTTCTTGTCAATAAAAGCTATGTTGCATAGTATCGAACGTTCGAGCCTCTCACATATTGTACCTCCTTTTTTTGACTCCTCTTGTGCATGTAGCAACATGTTTATTGGATGCATTTATGTTTTTTTTGGGGGATGAACATGTCACTGCAGCAGCAGTAGTAGTAACAGTAATCAGTACTATAGAATACAAGCAAGGGGAGGGGGGGGGAGAAACTAAGCAATTTGACGCTTCTTCCAACCACATTCGGTAGTGGGATCCATATCCATGTCTATCAGCGGGAAGTAGTGGTTCACCATTTTGACAGAGAGCATGATCGGCACGTTATCAAAAGTGACACAGCGTACACGCACATACGTATTATCCTCAATGTTCTTGACAGCTGCAATGAGATCATCCAACGTCACCACTCGTACAGAATTAATGTGGGTGATCCAATTGGTAGGCACCAAGCCATACATGTATGCTGGGGATCCCTTTGACCGTGCTGAAATGTAAATTCTGGAAGGCAAGCGCTTGCTTTGCTGCAGCACAGCCTTGTGGGGTTCTTGTAATGCAGCGCCTGCCCAAAACACCACCCGACTCGTTCCACTTCCTGATGCTGGTGACGTTTTGACACGCACAGTCATTTCCTTTTTCTGTCGAAGAATCGTCATCTCAAGTTCCTCGGCTTCATATTGAACATCCATCTCGTACATCCGCGTGATCACTTTGCCGTTCACTGCCAAAATCAGATCAAGCTCCTTGAGTACTTTGGTGCTTTCACTCTCAGCTTCTGTACGTCGAATCATGAATACTTGATGCTTGGCTTGATTGGCATCTTGTACTTTGCGAATCCATTCATCCGATAAGCCCATCGAGCCCGCTTGTGCCATTTGTACAGGGGTCAATTCGATATTAAGCGTACGAAGGTTCACGGGTTCATCACGTTGGAGGCGACTCAATACTGGCATGATGGTGGATATGTGTAACCCAAGATGGTATTCATTGTCATGTCCATTCATGTTGCGTTCTCCCAAATAACTTAGCCACAAGCCTTGCACTTGTCCCTCGGACGATGCCAATAAACCAGAAGAACATTCTAGTGCCAAAGGTGTATCCAATGTGATGCCATCTTGATTGATACCTCGGAATCGTGGTGTCTATCCAAAAACAAGTGTAAATTAAAAAAACGTCGGGACTGAGTTGGTAAATGGTATAAAGCAACTTACTCCATTGTGGGGAATGGTTACACATTGAACATCGGTGACGACAGTATTCAAGCACACGGGTCGCTGGTTATGGTTATGGGCAACTAACGTCACCTTGTGTCCTTGTTGCAAGACCTTGTCGCTGAGTGGTGCGCTCATTACATCAGTGTCACCCAGTAGCTTGGGATCATATTTCACAAATGCAAAGTTGTGTGTTGGATGAAGGTACTATTTTGGATTAAGGTTATTTCATGCATGCACTTGATCAATCCCAAATTATTACTTACAATTAATTTGCCAGGAATAATGAGAGACTCAGCAAAAGTCAGCGACAAATCACCCATTGCAGTAGGCACAATGCTGCGTCCCACCACCACCAATCCTCGCTCCTTGTCCACAATCACACCAGCTCCTTGTTTACGATTTCTTGGGAATCCATCCAATCGACAAGGCATATAATAGCTGACCTTGACAAGGCAACGCACAAGGTGTTTGCAAGGGCCAAGGCTGTCATCCAATACTGCAAAGCGCTTTGTCGATGGCTGTAATTGACGTGGGGGTGGTGCCTCTCCAAGTTCGGTGTAATCCCACAATCCAGTCTTATCATTGCGTACAGCTAAGCGGAAACCGGTCCAATGCCGCTCCACTTGAACCACCGTAACCAAGGTCGTATGTGTGTCGACAATCGAATAGTATACAACGGGCACTCGCTCACGATCAGGAATTCCTTCCATCACCTCGATAAATGTATCCAAGTTGGGAGTCTCCTTGTCATCCACCGATTTGATAATCCATCCATTATCAGGTCCATCCAAGCGGAACACTATGTTGCAATGTGTCAATTCAATGCTGATTTTTTTGTTGTATGATACGTACTTCCTGATGGCTCAGCAACATAAACACCACGGCATGGTACACAATAGGCTCGTGCCAATTGATAGGACACTTCGTTCAATTTTGATCCACCAATTTCAACATAACGATCGGGCGTGCTATGATGTCCATAAGTCATTAAACATTGACAACATGCATGGATCATGGGATACTTACATTGCATGAAGGTCTCCAACCTTAACAGTAAACTCCATAGGCTTGCCACCACGTTCAATCTTGAATACAAGGTCTTTGCCAACATTGGAATCCAACATGTGCTCGAGCGGTACGAAACGTGTGACGTATTCGCCATTGATGGTCAACAAGATGTCACCTTCTTCAAGCTTGCCGTGAGTAGGTCCTTCAGGCAACACCGTCTCGACAACAAGAACACCAATTTCATCATGAAACTTGTTGCGTAACTCTTCCTCTGTCTCTGCTCGTAAGCCTAATCGGCGTGCCTCATCAAAGGGTCGATAACTAATCACGTGATGAGTAAAACGAAAGAAATCCAGGTGAAAATACATACACGAATTGAGCTTGGACGTCACCTCGAGGAACATTTTCGCCACGTTGAATGTATCCCAAAGCACGCTTGATTCTGTCGAGAGGCAAGAAAAAGTCGGTAGCTGCCTTGGTATGACCGCCAGCTTGCAATGCTACGGCATTACCTTCAATATCGATCACAGGGGAACCCGAACTACCACCACTGGTGCTGGAAGCTGCCTGCCTATCCAAGAAATGCCATCTTAGTCACCACCGTTGCTATCCCCAAAATGACATTGCCTCCTTCACTTACAAGTAGAACGTGTTGAAATCATTGTATGTCAAGTCACCATAATCGGGCGTGTTGCGATCGAGACGCGAAATGGAACCAGCAAGAATACTGAGCTTTTCTCCTGCATCGTTACTGATATAAGAGTATTAATAAAAAGTCGCTATGTACACATCATCCATCCCATCAACATTTACCCGACGACACGAATATCCAAGCCCACCTTGGCAAGTTCAGGGCGAAGTTCCACTTGTGTCACTGGCATGTACTTGATTTTGGAAGGATCAAACCTATATACAACATCATCGTAAGCATCATCGCATGACACAAGACATGTATATCCATACTTTAAGAAACCAAAGTCATGTACTGGGTCACGATAAATTGGAAAGACATCGACTTCTTCATGATCGTGACAAATGGCTTCACCAACAAAAGGACCAGCACAAGCAACATGTCGATTCGTAAGAATAATGCCCTTTTCTGCATCAACGATGAATCCAGAGGCTTCCGAGGTCTCGGGTCCTATACAATCCCACATGTCAATGTCTTATCTTGGATGGCTGTTGTTGTTGTTGTACCTTCAGTGTCAAAAGCTGCCACTTGACTGAATCGGATCGATACGATCGCCTTCACAACTTGTTCAATCGTCGACTGCCATTTGGTTGGCTTGAGATCAAGCGCTCTTTCATCAAGCAGCATCGTTTCCCGATCGGTGGTGGTGGTGTCATTGAGATTGCTGTTGCTGGTGCCATTCACGACTTTACGACGTTTAGCGGGCTGACAGGGAGTTGCAGCTGGTGAATCGGCTCCTTCAAAATCTCGATCTTTGGGAAAAACAGGCACTGCTTCACGAGTCGGGTTCATGGTGGTGAAAAGTAAAGAAAGGGAGAAAGACGAAGACGAAGAACAATGAAATGTGGCCATAGCCCGCCCTTTTGGTACACTTCAGTCACGACCCCCTCTCTCCGATGTTTGAGTCCTTAGATAATGATGATGATTTCATTTCATGCTGGTCAATCAATGTCGAGTGTTAGGTTGTATGTTTTAATGAATGCAAAAGTTGATGGATGGTATCGACTTGGGTTCCTGATGGTTGTGCAAGTGGTCTATAGATCCGACAATAGGTTGCTACTTATATAGCTGCAGGTTTACTACCATCCCATCATCATGTGATTCCCCCACCTCCTCGCCAAGACATTTCATTTGCCATAAGAATGTATAATAGCTGGTTGATTATAATGAATGATAGGCTGTGTAAATGAATGGGTTATTCCTATAAACGAGTCGTTCAGGTACGTAATTTTCCTACGTACCTATTTTGTTGTCAGGATGACCTTTGTGTCACTGCCGTTGCCTCTTCGCTTTTTTAACATTGCCTTTGATCACTGATTCGGTGCTAATGCTAACATGTACAACTTGAACATGATCTAAATAGTGCATCTTGTGCATTTATAATATTGCTAACCATATGACATTACATAGCTTTCGATGCGGGATGGTACCAGAGGATGCATTACATCCATTGCAAAGTGACTTTATTGGATGCCTAGTTACCCAACGTAAAAAGCGGTGATACAAAAAGTAGCGTCTGTGCGTTTACAATGGGAAATTAAGGAACAAGGTTGCAATGGAACGACAAGATCCCAATGATTTTTTATTCCAAAGGAGATTCTTCATCATGTTGCTTAAGTTGCTCTTCTAACCTTCTTGCTTCTTGAACCATTTTACGCATTGTGGATGTCAATTTCAAGATATTCTTCTCGTAACGTGCGGATACAGTGACGATGGGGATATCCGTGACAAGCGATTGCAGCTGTTTGAGATTATCCTTGGCAGTACGAACTTGGTCAGCTTTGTTGGCTACAATCAGAGAGGATCGTTTTGTCAATCCAGGGCGATAGGCTTCCAACTCATATTGTAATGTTTCGAGATCTTCCCAAGGTGCAGGACCACTCAAGTCAATGACATAGACCAATATCTTTGCACGTTCGACATGGCGTAAGAACGCATGACCAAGACCCACGTTGGCATGTGCTCCTTTGATAAGACCTGGAATATCGGCAACTGATAATTGGAAAGTATCGGCATAATCCACCGTACCCACAAAAGGATGCAAAGTAGTAAAGGGATAAGCAGCTTGCTTTGGATGGGCATTGGAGATAGCCGCTAAAAGGCTTGACTTGCCAGCATTCGGCATTCCCACTAGACCGATATCGGCAATGGTCTTGAGCTCAAGTTCAAATTCACGCACCTCTCCTTTACGACCTCTTGTGGCAAACTTGGGCGATCGGTTTTCATTGGTCAAGAAATGAGGGTTGCCATAGCCACCAGCACCACCACGACACAATACAACTTGTTGTCCTTCCTCTGTCAAATCCACTTGCAACAATCCTGGTTGTTCTTGACGTGCACGCCATCGCAGATATTTATCTTCTTGTTCCATGGTACGTTGTGCTTGTTTAAAGAAATCCACTCTGCCAGGCCCCAAATCACGTCCTTGTTCACGGGGGAATAGCACCCATCGTTTGGCAAGTCGCTCTGCTTCATCCTCTTCATTATAATCATCCTCTTCATCATCTTCTTGTAGGCTAGTTGCTCTTGATGACTCTAGCTCACGTACAATCGTTCCAATAGGGACCTTGACTACCATATCAGCACCCATGGTTCCATGGCGACCGCCACCCATTCCATTTTGGCCTCGTTTTCCACTGCAAACTCGCCCAACGTGTCGTAGAGTTGTCTCGTCAGTGGAAGCTTCCACTATAACACTGCCACCACGTCCACCATTGCCGCCATTAGGTGGTCCTTTGGCAAGATACTTTTCCCGGTGAAACGATACACATCCATCGCCTCCATTGCCACCTCTTGCTGTCATTCGCACCAGATCGATAAATTGCCGACCCTATTGTCCACATTCGCCCCATGAGAAAACGGGTACTATACAAGGAGATATGGCTATGACTACTACTATAACTTACCTTGCCATGCACTTGATAGCGGTAATAGGCATCATTTGCAGACTCTTGCGTGCATGATACACGACATGAATGGATTTGCCTTGTTGATATCCTTCCGAAAACTCTCAGCATGTTATCTGTGGAAAAAGAAGCATCAATTTGTGCAACAAAAACTCGGTCTTGCATGACGTGACAGTCCCCATTCATAGATTAGGTAGCTCCACCATCATCACCACCACCTCCATAGCCTCGTTTTGTGATTACCATCCAATACTTTCTATTGCCATGTGTAATGTAATATTTGTATTTCAATGCAACACGTGTGCGTAGGCTCGTCTACGTGGTGCTTAACGCGTTGTGACAATAATGCTTTGTTTATTTTAGGAGGTCAAATTCAGCTACTAAGGATCATAAGGATCTGAGCACAACAGAGCTCCCCTCACAAATACAGCCTCCGTTGCTTGTTGCTTCATGTGTGTTATGCAAGCACATACACCTCCTTCTACCTAGCTGTCTACAACATGCAAACGATTGATATCTTGTATTGCCATTTTCATGATTACAATGATAAAGACCATATAATCCATACATGATTTGAATGGTGGGCACATTATAAACTCCTACATATGGCACATGCACCCCTTGACGCGGCGAACACTGGAGCCTGGATGATTGGCAAACGTGAATCATACCCTTTTGCTAAGCTTTAGAGCTCTCTAATTGCTCTTACTAACCATGTACTGGTATAGGATTATACGCTGGATATATAGCCATCCATTGATCGAAACTAAGCAAGTGATGAGAAAGTGTATGGCCAGTCGATGACAGGAGATGGCTCATGATGCATAATGCAGGGATAATGTGCATTAGGCTGGACTATGGGCTGAAGTTAATTGTACATTTCCATATCAAATACTTACTAGAGAGCCTGATACGATATAAATACTGTAAAGGGATCCTCATACTACAATCGACGACCTTATAGATTTATCCAAACATGAAATTGCCATTGCCTTTTCTTACCGGTGTGCTCTTGATGCTTGGATGCTCATATGTCCAAGCTTTTGTTGATGCTGTCGATATCCAACCTGCCGATATTCCTAATTCAAAACCAAGAGTAATCCGTTCCAGATCATTTTACGGTATGATGCAGGCTTGCGAAAGGTTCCAGTCAGCCAATGTAGTAGTTGTGAACGACGAGAGATACAAATCCGACCCCAGGCTCCGAATGTTTTATTGTGTCAAAAGAAAGATAAAACATATAGAACTTCCTCAAGGCTCTTGCGAAGCAAGTACCCAACCCCAAAAGCAATCTCAAACAAGACATCTATGGACTCACTGTAATGGCGATAATCACAGAGTCGAACTTGAAGTGTGTGATGCTGATAAAGATCATGAAAACTGCCAAACTATCCCCTGGTACAGCGAAGATGTGAAGCGTAGAATTGCCCCCCCAAAACGAAAAAGCTACCCTCAAAAAGATTCGACGTCTTGGCGTTAGTTCATAGGTTTACCCTTACACGTAGGCAATACATATCATTTTAAAGCCGTTCATGTTTAGGATGTACAGGAAATAAAATGATGTTGCTTAGCAACCTAATAGGACCACTTTATACCATGCTTAGGCACTTTGTGTTCTAACAATCAATGTAATGTTACATATAGTTCTAATCGTTTAATACACATTTAGATCAAGCTCTATTCGAGGGGCTGATGGTTCATAAAAATTACACGGTAAAGAAGAAGGTGGGGGATGGTATACTTTGAAAACAATAGAAATGGAGAAGTAAATCAGGGTGTGAGTGAGTGAGAGTGAAAGAATCTAATAACTAGAAATATATATATATAATTTACTCGTCGTCTTCCTCTTCTTCCAAACCAGCTTCCTCATCCTCAACATCACCACCATCCATATCACGTTCTAACATGGGCTTGATAAGGCGGTTAAAGTAGGGATGTTCGCCTTGAGGGTTGGAGCGCTTGACTTGGTCAAAGTAGTGTGCGTAAACATTGCCATCCTTGCGGCCCAAGGGCGAGTTGATCATGAAATCGGAAAGGTTGAAGGAGTCAATAAGAGGGATAGCTTGGTCACGAACAAGCTTGCAGTGAACGTTGACTTGCGAACGGATGAATTCGATTTGCTTGGGAGTGAAGTACTCGTATTGAAGGAAGGCACCCGAGTTTTCTTCAACAGTGTACAATCCATACAACATGCAGACCTTCATCAAAATGTCCTTCAAGCCACCCTCAACCTTGGAGACACCATCAGCGAAGCGGTTGAAGAGGTATCCGTATGTGTGAAGACGAGCGGCATACAAGCGAGATTGAGCTAGGTAACCAAATTAGATTCCATGTTTGTTTTTTCCCTCTTTCTCTTTTAAAATACTTACAGCATTGTTCATAAGCATCATCCACATCCAAGCCATTCTTGAGACATTCCTCAAACTCCAAAGCAGCATTCTTGACAACATTGGCACAGACGACTTGCCAGCCTTCAATAAGCACCTCGGGGCGCAAGAGATCCTCAAGCTTTTGAACTTGGCAACGCTTGCCGATCAAACCATTCAAGTTGTTGAGGTAGCCAACACCAGGAGAAAGCTTCTTGCCCTTCATGGCTTCACGGTAGCTGCTGATAAGATAACGACCGGATTGGAGAGCCAAGATGGTATTGTCACCTTCCCAAGTACATTGAACAGCAAAGTCATTGTACATGCCAGCAAGACCAGTGTATGCGGAATAGCCGTGACCACCACAAGCTTGACGGCATTGCTCAATGGTGTTCAAACAATTCCAGGTACAGAAGGCCTTAAGACCAGCGCTGGTAGAGTGAGTTTCCTTGAGGATTTCAACAATTTCTTCCATATCAGGATCACCAGGGCTGGCACCATCCAAACGGGACATCATGCTGTTGTACATGGCAGTCATTTCGGTACCAGTAAAGTGCATGGCAAAGGCTTGAGCAAGCAAAGGCATCAAACGACGTTGGTGGATAGGGTAGTCAAGCAACTTGGTTTCGATACCATTGGACTTGGAGTTGGCAAATTGACGACGCACAGCAGCATAGCGGACAGCAATGGAAAGAGCCTTCTTGGAAACGTTGCCACTGTCAACAACCATAGCAACACGGCCTTGCAAAAGAGCACCATAGGTCTATACATGTATAGATCATTCGTAAATTATCTTGGCCATGGGATTTGTGTGTATGGTTCAACTTACCAATTGTTGCAACTTGGGCTCAACGACGGTACCGGATCGAGAAACCTTGGTGTGCTTTTGAAGCATGTAACCACGGGGAATACGAACGCTGGTGAATTGAATCCAGCCATTGTCGATACCATCACGACCCTACAACAATCCCATGAGTCTCTTTTCCATTCCTTTCCTTTATCTTTCCCTTGTCAATAATACATACCATCTTTTTACCAATATCACCAATGTTGACACCAGGAAGGAGGTTATAGGTCTTGGGATCTCTCAAGGGGACGACAAAGCACTTGGTACCATAACGCTTGCCCTTGACAATAAGTTGAGCAAAGACAGCTGCGTGAGTAGCACTATGGGCAGCACCACCGATCCACCACTATATGTACATGCAATGTTAGTAATGTAGGATGACATGATATGAATATGGATGCATTACCTTGGTAGCAGTAAGAGTAGGAGTGTGGATGACGAATTGATCGGAGGCTTCATCAAAGGTGGCAGTGGTTTCAAGACCTGGGACATTGGAACCGTGACCCAACTCTGTCATGGCAAAGCAACCCACCATGCCAGTCAATGAAAGAGCACCCTTTTCGAACCAGTAGGAAAGTTGACCAGGGCTGGCATTGCTTTGCAAGGCACCAACAAACAAACCATCTAATAGGCATTCGAGTTAACTCTAAAGCTTCTCTCCTTTTGTCGTCCTCTATACATACAATGAACACCAAAGCGGGTCCAGAAACCAGGATCAATCAAACTAATGACTTCCATGCGCTTCTTGAAGGTATCCACAGATTCGTTTTGCAAATGATGGATCAAGCTACGGAACTAAAAAGATAAGGAGGATGAGTGTAAGTGTGCGTCTCATTGTAAGTGGATCTTTTGTTTTACCTTTTCCATGGTACGCTCACGCAATTCTTCCTTGCTAATATCATGGATGTCGTGCATCTTGAAGAGAGGATCGCGTTCAATCTCTTGCATCATGCGTTCACGCAACTATACAAGCACATGACAATGAATATCCAAGGGTCTACTACAGCTGTATTCACACAAAGACACATACCTCAGTGGCCTTTTCACCACCATCCAAGAGGTGGGTGAGTTCGCGAATGTTGAAAGCAGCCTTGGCACGTTCTTCATTCATGCTGGCGACAGGACTAGAATGTATGCAACATGGTCAATTTCAGCTGCAGCATGCGTGGGTTGACATTTGTACTTACTCAACGGCGTTGGCGCGCTCCTGATCGGGGGTGAGATGCTGTTTGACAGCTTGGAGTCTATCTTGTGCCGACATGTTCAATGTGTGTGAATGTGTAGAGAGAGGGTGGAGAGAAAAAAGACACAAGGCCAAAAGGGATCGGGTTAATATACATTTCACCAACTTGCCAAATCCGGACGAACAAGCTGACATCATGGAGCTTCACGTGGGGTAAAAATGGCTGTCATAGTCGCACGTGAAAGACAAAGAAGCAATCCCCACATCGATTGGTCATCGTCAATGAAGCACAAGCATTTCTTGTACGAAACGGAGTGAGACCTACATCTTGTATACATACAACCCAGATTTTTATTGTAACCTCTTCTTCTCATATATGAATGCTATTATGTTGTATCATGTACGCTTGTAGATGGTAGTAGGGTAGTTGTCTTAATAAAGTGTCAATGTTTTCATGTGGATGGGGTTGTCATGTCGCAAATGAAAAACTCAAGATCAATGACTCGATCATCATGTGTTCTCAAAGGCTTGTCCCATAAAGCACTAAAGTGGTGGTGGTGCCCCTGAATCCTTCGCAGAGATAGGTGCGACCAGTATAATCGGTGTTCTTTACGTCTTGTGTTACCTTACCCCAGTCGCTTCGCTTTCATATGCATGTGAGCTGACATGTGCCATTATGACAGGTTGTCCTTTTTTTTCTCTTGATCAAATTCTTTTTGGTAAAATATTACGAGAAAAGGGTATTCAGTATACCACTTACTACAACATGGCAAGAAAGATACACGTATACGATGATTAAAAGTGAGAGTTAAGGATATGGCTAATACTACAACGACGTACACTATTGCTGGACGTGGAGCGATTGTTTATGCGGGGTAAAAGATCTCCACCATTGCTGCTTACACAGTGCAAATGCTTCTGATAATAGCAGTAGCAGCATCATGAGCTGATATCATCATCCAAAGTTAAACCTAAACAACCCGCTAGATCCATTGAGCTCGATTTACCCCCCACGAACAAGGAGCGTCCTTTATTTACACATAGTTGACATCACCACAACACGGTAATGGGTTGCCTTTCCTTGTAGGGTCGCACAAGCGGATGATAACAGCATTGAATATCATGTCCCTACCGCTGCATACTCTATTGTGGTTGAGCCAGATCATTGGGACAGACTTTGAAAACCGCGACAGCACTGATGCATTAGGAGAGCTTTTGCTTGTGATCTTTGTTGGTAATCGTAGTTGCTTTCTTCCCTCGAAACTATCATCGAGTTCATTCCTCAGGCTGCTCTTGATTTTGATCAACCTTTATGGCTCCATTGACGACGACTTTGGAAGATACAAAAAGTGATGCCTGTGATCATTCTTGGTATACAAAAGGTGACAACATACATATGCAAGCGTTCTCAGAACCTCGTTCAACGATGATCTCTGATGACGTTGCATATCCACCTACTACGTGTTGAACAAAAGCTCGTGCTACTTTACGTGTTTGTGAGATCGTGTTGGTATGCGCGATGTTTGATGGCTCCTCTCGATGACATACCGCTAGTAGTAGGTGCCTGTACATAATTGATAGATCAATCACTTTCCTCACTGGGCGTGCTGACCCTTTCTCATTGTTGCTTACACTGCATGGCACATTGTCCACATAATGCAAAATATGGGTGGATTTACAAATGGGTATGAAGAATGCTTGATACTTTTCTGATTTACTCATTGACACTACTTCTCCCCTGGGAATACTCTGGCAAAGATTCCGTAGTATCCATGGTTACCTTGTTTTCCTCGTTGCTATGACTACTACAAAGGAGACGCCTTGATCATGTGACAAAAGTTATAAACGAGGGACCATGACTGTATTTAACTACATGCACGGGAACGAAAAGGTTGGATAACAGGTTTATTGCTGATATGAGGGATAGGTGAATTGACTAGCCATTGGTGATAGATAGATAGATGAGCGGAGAATGGGCAGCAAGTGGTTGTCTCTCTCAGCGTGTGTGGAGCAAGGACCAGCAGCAGCCTTTTGACCTCCCACAACCCCCACACACAATGTCCTCATCCAAGATGGATCCTCGCCGGCCTGACAAGATTGTACCATTCCACATGCCTTCCAATGTCCCTCCCTCGAGCGATTACGCTGGTAACCTTGCTGTTGCTGTTGGTGAGTTGACTCTTCCCTTTTTCCCATTCCATGTGTGGGGTCGCGCCATGAACGAATAGAGAGATACTTATATAGACCATCTCGTTTCTTAGGTATGGGTGGTATCATGGTTCGCGTGAGTATCTTGGTATAAAGTTGTTTCATATCAACATTGACAAAGAAAGGATAGAATTCGTTCAAAGCCTTCCCTTGGATCGCTGCCTTCTTTGGTGCATCATCTATGCTCAATTCACGCAAGACCAAACGCGATGATTCAGTAGGATTTAGTGGCGCTGTGTAAGTATGCTTTGTTTATTCGGATAGGGTGCATGGGTGATTCATCATTCTACTTCTCTAGACTCGGCTTGGTATCCTTGTTCACCTACTATTTGAATATGTATATGATGCACAAACGTGCAATGGATAATGCAGCATAACCGGATGAGTTATTTATATAATAAAAGGTTGTCAATAAGGCAAAAGTTGATGGAATCGTGATTGAAAGTACATTCAAAATATGATTGACAATCTTTTATGTGCAAGGATGGGATCACGGGGCTAATGGTATACTATGAGCATACTTGTATACGACTTTAAATCATCTATCCTGGTATATCCATCATCCATATATGGCAGCAAAGTCGATTAAGCGGGCAACACGTATTGATCCGGCACCATGTTGTAATCATTTAGGCTTACAGCAGATATGGTTAGCGAATCCACTAGCTGTCTCACCCTGATTGTTGGAATTAATACAAGTCGGCTGCATAAATGTCTAGTCTTGGACCACTATACCTGTACAACTGTAAAGGAAACAAAGATGATCTTTTGCTATTGAATACTCTCATTCTCCAACCGTCCTTTGTGGAACTGGAATCGTAAGATAGGTTGCCATGACACATTCAGCAGACATGTACAACAAGTGAATGAACTTTGTGTCATCACGACGTGTGAGTGGTATTGGATGATTACTTGATTAAAGAGGTACCGCGGGATCATGTGCATAAGGATCAAGGGGTGGGGGAGAGCCCATTTTGGCTTGGCAACAGCATTGCTTGATCCAAAATGCATCAACCATTTCTAGCGGCGACAACAAGGCAAACTATCGAGTCTCTTTTGTGCTTTGCTTGAATTTGCTCTCCTTATGACGCGACGACGAACTAAACCAGCTACGAAACGGCATCGGAGAGGAGCGAGTGCATCGTCCAAAAAGATAGCTGAAATCAACGATGCCTTGAAGGAGAACGACATTGCAGCACTAAGACATCTCGGTCGTACGATGGGTGGTTTTCTCAATGACAGCATCCGAAGAAAAGCTTGGTAAGTACAGCACTCGTCTACAAGTTGTCCAATGACTGAATGAATAGTAATAACCTTCTCATAGGCGAGCGTTGCTTGGATACGAGAACAGGCAACAGAACCTCCATGGTACTACTTAGCTAGTAGACGACAACAACCACCCCCCAATAGCTTATTAACGTCATGTTCCTTTTGCAGACAAACACAAGGATGAATCTCAAGTTGCATTGGATGTTGCACGGTCATTCAACACGTTCCCAAAGGGTAAATATTTATGATACGATTTCATGCTTCAAAAAATATCAACGAATCATTCCAGATCTCAAGCCAAAGACCAAAAATCAGCTGCGAAGTAAACTACAATCGGTTATCTTGCATGTGTTACGTGCATATCCCAAGTTGCACTATTACCAGGTAATTTGGTATCCCTTCATGGTCCATGCATTTACTCACAATATCCGTCCTTAGGGATTCCATGATATCGCCTCTGTCTTTGCATTGGTCTTTAACGAAAAGGATGCTGGCATTCTGATGGAACATGTGGCCCTCTTTTTTGTACGATATCCTTTTTCTCATTCCCCCCTTTTTATACCATGCATGAACGTATGACTCGAATCATCCTTAACGGCAAGCACAGATGCGATGTTAGAATCATTAGATCCAATCCTAAGGCAACTCACATTGATGGATACGTTGATACAAAAAGAAGATCCAGAATTACATGAGCACATCACTGGGTAAGGTGGATTGGGGCCCAAGAAAGCATGATGGCTGATGATTTCAAAAACTAGAGCTGGTGTTTTACCTTATTATTGCTTGAGTTGGGTGATTACATGGCTCAGCCACGACTTGGATGATGTCAACAAGATTTTACGCCTCTTTGATCTTTTCCTTTGCTCGAATCCATTGATGCCATTGTATCTTTCAGCTGCCTTGGTGCTCTCTCGACGAAAACAGGTGTTGATGGAGGAATGTGATCCAAGCATGATTCATACCACGTTGAGCAAAGTACCGCAAGACATGCCCATTGAACATTTGATCCAGTGGGCGATAAAGTTGGAAACCGCATATCCGCCAAAGTCACTGCAGCGGGAAAGCGGGATTGGCCTTGATCAAGTATCAGCTATCAATACCTATGAGGATCTCTGGATCATGGAGGACGAGGTGGAAGCATCACGAGAACAAGCATGCAACATTATTGCCATGTTACCAGAAGAGCGACTTCCTATGGATACCAGCGGCATGCATGATAGCAGTGCTCAGAAAATATTGGGTCGATTACGAGCGATTTACCACCGCGATACAGCCATGTGGTCAGTGTTACTACTAAGTACGGGCGTAGTGGCGCTTGCAATTATCACTTCCAACACCGATGCCATACGGTAATATAAAGAATGACATTGTGTAGGGGGGGCGAACATTGAACTAACATGTTTCATATGCAGAGAATGGTGGATGACATTAGGCTCAGCAGGACATTTCCCGTTGTTGTGAGAAAAAAGTTTAGTAGTTAAAGACAGCTTTTTTTGATAATAACATTGACGCTGCTCCCCAGTGGTGGTGAAACAAGAAAACTCTCTTTCTCTTACGACCTCCTTGTCTTCTTTCTCTCACTCTCTCACTCTCTCTCCCTTCTTTGGGTTGGGTTATCGTGTGTAACATAATGTTGTGGGATACAAAGTGTAACGTTTCACCGAATGTGTTGTGCTGCACGAAAGGATTCATCTGTCAAAAGCCTCCGCCCGTTTTCACTCCCTCTTTCCGCTTTCTCCTTTTCATAAACACCCTCCCTTTCCGTTTTTGCTTCATTCTCCCCCTCTGTTCATTACTCAAATCAGAACAAAGAGTGAGAGGCAGCACCTACGTAATCCTCGTGGAACATTTTTGCATACGCACATATATAAAAGCCGCATGGGTGGATTGCCCTTTCCTTTTTATTAAACAAAATGGGCAATAAGATCTCGACCAATTCGCGCAAGGGCCGCTTTAGCACCAGTAAAAGTGTCTTGAAGTGGAAAAAACAACACAAACAACCATCCGCTGAATCACCACCCACCCCTGTTCCATCATGTTCACAAACAACGTCCATCACATCAAGTCAAAGCTCCATGAACGACAGCATTGTGCGTCAAGGACGCAAATTTCATAATATCACTGAATCCATTTATTGGTTACCAAATGACGATGAGGAGATGGATAGGCTTATCGGAGTGAGTTATAAAAAGCGTTTCTTTCCGATAATTCCTTGTGATTAACAAGCATCCTCTTCATCATCAAGCAACACTTTGCACTTAAAGCATTGTTCGAAGGGTAAGTTTCCAACAATCAAGACGATAAAAGAGCGAGAAAGAAAAATTGACTCGTATTCTAGAAACATTGCAAAAGAAGCTTTAGAACGAGTCCACCTTGAAGAAGGAGCTAAAATTTTGGATGTGGGTTGTGGCCCGGGCACGTGGTTAATGGTGAGTCAGTTGTTTCTCGGACATTGTAGTTGATTATATACATAAGGTTATTAAGATCGTTCCCACCATGATTTTTAGGATGTAGCCACTGAGCGACCTGACTGCGAATTATTTGGGGTGGATATGTGCAATGTATTTCCCAGCGACATTCGACCACCCAACGTACAATTCATGCACGGCAATGTATTGGAGCGACTACCTTTTGACGATAATACGTTTGATTTCATCAACATGCGATTCTTGATGCTCGCATTACGAAAAGACGAGTGGATAACGGCTCTCAAAGAAATACTACGCGTGCTCAAACCTGGCGGTTGTTTCCAAAGTCTCGAATCTGGGATGATGGATCGTGGCAATGACTTTTGTCTTTGGGTCGGCAAAACTTGTAAGTACATAGCATGCATGCATGATTAGGGGGTGAAAGAGGGGGGGGGGTGAATGCATCCACCACGTTGCTTATCCTATTGTTGTTAGTCATTGATGTCATGCGTAGTCGGGGACAAGAACCCTATATTGCATTTACACTTGAATCCATAATGAAGGAGGCCGGCTTCAACTTTATAAAGTCGATTCAAAGAGATACGTATTTAGGTATGTTTGTTTGTTCATATCAAAAAGCCAATCTTCAACTAAGCATGATCATCCCATCATCGGTGGTTGCAGATAAGCCCGATCCTCTGAATCGTGAATTCCTTTGGGATATACGCAACATTGTCAAAAGCACACAACCATTCCTTGCCGGCCCATTAGGGATTCCACCTGATCAATACTCAAAGTTTTTGGACAAGTTTGAAGCTGAATGTCAAAAACCGCCAGGAGCCAAATGGATGATTGTCATTAACGTGGCCCAAAAAGAAGCTTGAAATTATAATTAGCCCTTCCTAATTGCACTATACTCGCACGTCCTCACACACTCACGCTCACACACACACACACACATGCACACATGCACACGCACATACCCCTGCCTTCTTGGTTGTTGGGTAGATATACACACACCGCTGTTTGTTCTCACGAAGCCTCCCTAAGTTTTCCCATACAAGAAATGTTGTATACACACATACACACGCACACGCGCTATTATACTTCCCGTGAACAATAACCCCAGCGCTCTCAATTGTGGTACCTCCCCCTCTTTCGGCCCCCCCTCCTCCTTCGTCTTCAACCTCTCCTCCTTCATGTGAAATTTTCTTCCTCATTCCTTGGTGTACAAAAAAAATTCCATTACTCGTTTTGTATAGTTTACCACACGCAAACAAATAATCTCTCTCTCTCTCATTGTCTCCTTGTTTAATCTTCATGCAATATGATATCATGTCCACACCATCTTTCTAGCTTTGCGTTTCTCGGCCTTGGTGACAGCTTTTTCTACCTTGAACTCTTCCTTGTCTGCAATCGCTAATGCTTTGGCGAGCTTCTTTTGTTGTCGAACATTGACTCCTTTCTTTGCATTCTTCTTTTTCACTTTGCCACTGGATGCTGCTGAAAGATCAATGGTTTGTTTCCTTGCGTGTAAAAGATCAAGCTCTTGCTCTATCCGTTGCTTGGCTACAATGATTCGATATCAATCACTCATCCAAAAGAGGCGGGGGGAAAAACCTTTTTGAGGACTTACAGTTGCTGCTGGCATCGACAGCATCGACCGACATGGAGGAATTGGCATGACGAGACACGTTGTTTGGATTGCTAGTAACTGAAGCGAAAAGTATGAGACAATGCCTGAATCGTGTCGATCTCGATTACAAAAAGAGAGAGTGTGGTGTATATACATTTGGTCTTTGATTTTCCCATTGTGAAGAAGAAACACAAGCAGACGACAAATGCAGATCATTTTCTCCCGCCCCCCTTCTTATCAGCAGCACCCAAGTAGATACATAGAACATACATGTGGTCAATAAACACACCTTGTCCCTCTTGGACCCTTGAACACACAATGCGTAGCTATCGAGTGTTTTATTATTGTATCGTGAGTGCTAGAGAATTTTTACGTATAGCTATTGTTACATACCCGGTTATGCAAAGGCTAGATAGTAGTGAAACATGGCCTTGACCAAAACAAACGATATCGCTATTATTAGTAGACGCTCGATTGCATAACACCACCAGCAAAAGATACATTCGAATCAAGTTTAGCAGAGTGGTACTAGATGTTGAAATCATTACGATGTGCTACGACATGAACGCCATCATAAGGTTCAAACCAACATGTATTATTGATCTCACTACAAGATCACCGATCCATCTATCACGAGAAAACCTTATTGTATTAGATCTCGACATTTTTAGTGATCAAAGTGCAGATCTATGGGTACAAAAAAAAAGTAAGCATTTGAACACGTGTTGCACGAGGGAAGCTTGTGCCTGGATATGAACGCTCAGCATGAGCAGATCAGCATAAGATAATTCAATTGCACACTCGCGAGAAACGTAATTTCATAAAAGTCGACGCAAGATCGCTACAGCAGTATCACCTGGACACAATGAAAGAGGTCGTGTGTGTTTAACATAGCAACGACTATGATGGGGTAAGAGCTCGCTTAGGAAGAGTCGCGATCATTAGGATCTTAACGTTAGCTCGTTCGATATGCAAAAGATTATACCGTGACCAGCACTTTTAAACCATGATTTAGTTCTTGATCATGTAGTCATGGAAACGGTGAGATGAAACACATAACATCATCAGCATTAACTTTATGCCGGATGAACGAGCGGTGATAGCGTAGCGATTAGTGAGCAAAATTAACAAGGTAGGCATCTATAATCATTTTGTATATTGTAAGGGCATTTATACAATACATGGTTGCTGCAGCTGAATAGGACCACCAAATGCGAGGGTAGAATCCCTATGAATCAAAAAGATACCTGGCCCGGGAGAGGGGTCTATGGCGGCGACTGGTGTGCGCCTCTTGAAGCCCATGTAACCGATCTCAGCTTTTGCCAGTACCAACTTGTCGGAATCCTTAGCTGGGTAAAGATTCGTGTGACTGGTGAAGGATAAGCCGCCTGAAAAACTTTATAAATCCTCTCCAAGCGGGCAACGTCGTGATCCAAGTCTGTTCTTCTCGCATACCCCCTTTTCTTTATACACACAGTAAGTACGCTTTGGGTTCTTGTCCTATGTAATGAATGTATGTATGCCAAGGAAAAGATGAAAGGATGATTTGTGCTATAACAATGGGAATCTCTCCGAAGTCCTGTGTAGAAAAAATAGTTTTATTTACTCTGACATCTTTCATTGCTACTACAACATTTATTTGCTGGACAAGGGCTACTCCAACACGCGTTTGAATGGAACGTTGTTTCTAACCTTTGCCTTCAGCTTTATGTAGGTTTCTTCTCTTCCCCTTCCTCTCCCTTTTATTCTTTTGAAAGGATCATACTGTAAGTGTCTATTCTTTTCTTGATGTGTGTCCCCCTATCCCATCATGGCTTTGTGATGCATCACAATGATGACCAAGTTTCATGCACCACGCATAAGGGTATTGATGATAAAAAAAACTTCAGTCTTCAACCTGAGAGATGCATTCTTTGTTGTGATGGGTGGGTGGCTCATTATCTTTGGATGATTGTAAGCCCAATGTACTCATTCTATTTTGACAATAGGTAACCGCATCTGATGGCTTGATTGGATTAGATGTTGTGCAGTTGATTATAAGAATAAAGCATCTTTATGTACAAAAAAAAAAGACTTGTGTGTAATAGTTAACTCTATGGGATGGGTGAGGGTGAGGGGGAATTGAGTGATGGATAATGAATGATACGTGTGTAATGGGCTGCCAATGAAAATCAGCAATGAACGCGTTGGACGCAGGATTATTGCATTACTTTTTCTTTTTCTTTTCTTCGTGGACGTGGCTATGGACGGTATTCAACAACTTATCCAAAACAAGGATTATGCTGCACTCGTGAAGGCATGCGAGCGTGTCGAACTTCAGGTACAATGACAGCCGTTCTCTATATCTAATGCCTGGCTAATGTATAAAGATGGGCAGATGGCTGCTAGTCCTTCAGCGAATTGGAACATTCAAGAGATCTACGCCGTGTTGCTGCTTGCGTATGCCCTTGTCGATGACTTGTAAGTGTAGAGAAAAGGGTGGTTTCTTCCTTGCAAAGGTATTCAAAGTTGTGTTTTAAGGAACGGTGCTCGGTTCTTGCGAAAACGGATCCTTGCTGCTCAAAGACGTAGTGCTGAAATCGATACTGCGTGGCGGTTGTGCGTGATCATGTGGGAGCGACGCTATGATGAGTTTTATGAAGCATTGGTTTACGATTGGTCACCCCTTGTATTACCACTTGCCGAAAGTCTACGAGGTGCGTAAAGGAAGAGGAGGAAGTTAAGGATCATCCATCTCATTTCACCTACTATAGACACATTGAGGGACAAGCTGGCCATTGTGTTGCAAAAGACATATACGAATATGGATCTCGACACAGCTTCTCGATACTTTGGGATGTCTGAAATGGAACTTGTTCCTGGTATGTGTGTGGGTTTTGAGAGGGGGATCAAATGCGTTATTAACATGTCGAACCTTGTAGCATTAAAAGGACTAGGATGGGGTTATGATACCAATTCAAAAATGTTCACGCCAGCAAAACCAACCTCTTTACCTCGTCACCCTTCCGAGATGAACCAAGTATCACGATTAGCCAATACTCTTTTACGATTAGAACAATGCTAGTAGTAGTAGTAGGCTTTATCAACAATGAACTTTATTACAATTTGCCGAGACGGCTAGCACCATCAATACGAACAATTTCACCATTCATCATTGTATTCTCAATCAAATGGCAAGCAAGCATAGCGTATTCAGAAGCATGGCCCATACGGTCAGGGAAAATGGCATCCTTGAGGATCTTGGCTTTGGCCTTGGGGGGAGTGTTTGCGGTCATGTTGGTTTCTAATAGGATAGAATGGGGGATGAGAATTTTGATGATGAAAGATGAGGATGATGATCCATACCAAAGAGACCTGGTGCAATGGACATAACACGGATACCAGCAGGAGCAAGATCACGAGCCATAGGAAGGGTCATGGAAGCAACGCCTACAGCAAAACCAAAAAAGAGTACTTGCAAGCTTGCACAATGATACTCGTGTTGTCTGTGTGTTCTATCGCTCACCTCCTTTGCTAGCGCTATAGGCGGTTTGGCCAGCTTGACCGTCTTGGAAAGCAACTGATGCAGTGTTGATAATGACACCACGCTCACCATCTTCATCAGTATAGGTCTTTTCTTGGTTGGCCATGGTTTGAGCGACTTGACGACACACATTAAAGGTACCAAGCAAGTTGACACGAACAATAAAGTCAAAGAGATCCATCGACATTGTGTGTGCAGAGCTACCACGACGAGCAATCTATGTACATACCATAAATAGATGAATGAATATCTTCGCTGCCACCACTATACAACCCATTAAACACGCATTACCTTGGCAGCACCTGCTACACCACCACAGTTGACGACGCCTGCAATGTTACCAAAGCGAGCCACGGTCTTTTCGATTGCTAACCGAACATCTTCCTAATAGTGTTGTTGTATATAAGTGGCATGTTTCTTTTGAACGATGATATGGATGTCCAAGTACCTCTGAAGTGATATCCACTTTGCCAACAGCCAACACGTTGGATCCCAAGGATTTGGCGAGCTCAGCACTAAAGCACAAAGGTGAGCCTGCTTTGTATCCACCACATACACGCATACGCATATACTTACGCTCCTTCACCGTTCAAGTCAAAGATCTACAAAGACATGTTATTGACGTGCGCTCTATTATAGTTGGGACTATAGACACATACCGCAACGTTACCTCCACGCTTGACGATCTCTTTGACGGTTGCTTCACCGAGGCCACTTGCGCTGTACACATTCAACCATTAGCCCAATGAAAGGGCACCCTAAATTAGCAATGACCTACCCGCCAGTGACAATAAAAGCGTTTCCAGTGATTTGCATGACGATGGAGGAGTAGAGAAGAGAGGAGTGGAAAAGGTTGTACAAAGGTGTGGGGTTGATTTAATGCTGACATATCGCAATTGCAGCACGTGAATGTTTTCGCATGGACATGTGTGAGAGTGTTTGTGAAAAGGGACGGATTATAGCCCGGATATACTTTATCAATACGCTATCAAGTAATATAATAGATGGTGATGAGGAGGGGGAGGAGATACAAAATATGCTAGTTGTATATGTATGATACAAAGATTGTTTAAACGGATGCTATGGAAGGTCTTGGTTGTGTTGTATGCTGATGTTGAAGCGTTGTTATGCTCGGGTTTTCAATCATGGCTGCTGCTGGATCTGTAGTGGAAGACATGGCTCCAAGTTCATGACAAATAGCCACCACGCGATGCATTACAAGGCGTGCCGATTCTAGTTGTAGATTGGTATAGATTTCGACAAGGTCCTGCCCAACGCCCTGCAACACACGGGAATCTTGATGATAGCTGAGATGCGCATTGTTGGCAACATCTTCATAAAATTGATAACCAACACGACATAAATGCTGTGAGAGATCATCCACAGAGACAGTGGCAAAAGGTGCATTCTTCAAGTGATGATTGTTGTTGTCATGGTCCGTGGGTTGCACAGAAGGCTCAACCTCCTGGCTATCAATGTCGGCTTGTTCTTGTTGTTGTGGTGTTGGTTCTTGTTGTTCATGACGATGACGATGATGATGATGGGAACGACGAGGACGACGAAATAAACCAAACAAAAGAGGTTTAAAAGGAATACGAGGCTTGATAAGATCCGTCCATTGCCAAGGTGCAGGAACAAAAGATGGTTCAGGCATGGATGCAACAGGAAAGTCATCATTGCCATTATCGCGTGGATACCATATAAAGGATGGCGTAGTAACAGGGGATGTGAGACGAAAGGGCGTTATTGTGGTAGTAGTAGCTGAAGCATCACCATGGCTAAGAACACGTCTTCTTGGTGGATGTTGTTGTTGTTGATTGTTATTGGGATCATGATAGATCATTGAATGGAGTTGTCGTAGTCGATGTGCAAGTGTTGTAGGACGTGCGAGGCTTAGTTGGGCGTCGATCTGCTGCAGGTTGTGTCGGGCATTGTGCATAAAGACCGCGCCAAAGCGACGACAGATATCGGTTACTGCATCGATTTGTTGATCGCGTGTGAGGCGCGTGCATTCAAAGACGATATGGCGTCGACCCACAGCCTTACGACTCAATCCCAATTGCGCATAGTTTTGTTTATCCACCATGGCCACATATAACCCTGCTGCTCGCCGTGTCTCAACGCTACCATACGATGCCAATATCGAAGTCAAGACACCATCCACTTGATCCACTCGTCGCCACGCCTTTTTCAATTGTCCCACAGTGCCCAGTAATTCAGTCAGCTTGCCATGCTCTCGACTCTTGTCATCGTACCCTCGACTCAACTCATGCCACTTGTCAAGCAGCTGCTCAATTTTCGCTTCTGTCAAAGGCGCAATGTGGCGTTGTCGACATGCCGTGTCCAGGCAACCGGTGATCTCGAGCGCTGTTCTTAAAAGGGTACGTCGTAAGCTGTCGCTGTTGGCGCTGTCCACAAGACCAATGACGGGAATAAAACGCAGCACCTGTTGCATCGTTTGGGAAATACGCCGCAACTGCATAGGGCTCCCAATGTGTTGTTCAATACAAAATTGTTGCTGAGCATCCGAACAAAATCCTCCAAGTAATTCATTCACTTCTTGATACAATTGATTGATATTCGATCTATTATTGTGTTCGATCGTTGTGGTTGTGGTGGTGGTGGTGGTGCCATGTTGCTGCTGTTGTTGCTGTTGTGGTTGTTGTGGTTGCTCTTCTTCTTGATCCATAGTCGCCTTTTCCAAGAGACTGCATGTATTTGTGTGTGTGGGGAGGGGGGGCCTGGATGATGAAGGCAGTGGCAAAAGGAGAGAGGAGAATGAGGAGGCAATGAAAAAGAAGAAAGGAAAGGAGCAACACAAAAATAGGCAAACCTAGAGGGTCAAAGTAAACACGACAACAAAAAGTGAGGATGACATACTGAATAAAGCAGGTGCCATCGTGTTGCAAGGTCCTTCTAACAATCAAGCCTTCACTTGTTGCTTATCAATCATCCATAGAATAAGCCATCCTCAATGATACAATGAACATGCATTCACGTTACCAAGAAGTATCATCTCTTGGCCCATTGTTTAGACCTCCTGCAGGGTAATTGTGAACATTACTACCCAACAGCATCCAACTTGTTTAGGTGTTGAGTTGTTACACAATAATTTAATGTCGACTTCCGGTCAATAGATCGAGGACCAAGGCGTCGGGAAATCACCGCTGCTGCTATCAAGCACACAAAATGCCCATTTTCTACCCGCATAGGAATACGACGAGTATCGCTTGGAAGAAATCAACAAGCTATATAGTGATTACGATGCATGATTGATGTATGTGGCTTCACGGGCCCTTGCCGTACATATAAACCAGCCATTTTAACTATTGCACGTGTCTAATACTGCGCTGTTGTGAACCATGGTACCGCTGATAGCAATCTTTGAACATCAATTGGCTCATTGTCGTAGTAAAAAGTAGCTTTAAATACCATCAATCAGCCAACGGTTTTTCAAAAGCAGCGGTAGCAGTCGTTTGTAACATCATAAAACATCATTGGAGGGAAGAAGGAGCAGGAGATGTAAAGAGGACAAGGAGAACAAGGAAGAAAAAATGTTGTAGTTGGGATAATCCAATGTTGGGTACCAAATAAGGAGGAGGCGTAAATATCGCCTATGGCTGCTGTACGTGAATGTAGGGTAGTAGTGGGTGATCGATGTGCAGTAGTAGTAAGATTACAGATGAAAGACAGCATGACGCATTCTCTTCCGTGCTGTGGGATTAATAATCCTCAGGGGTTCCTTTTTTTTTATTTCATCAACAGCTGTGCTCCTGTGTTGAGGAAAAGAAATATTAACATGCAGCCATGTCATTATGCGTTGATGACATCTTTGTATTGGCTAAAAAGCGTGGCCACAAGATTGCATGATGCGCTTGTACATATCGGGGTTGCTATGCGACAATGCATCTTTTTTGGATGAGCAAATTACTCGATCATCAGTGATGTGGTATGGAAAAAGCACTAAGGGGGGTTGGTTGGTTAAAAAGAGTGACATGACGATCTTAACGTGTAACTCATTTACTTTACTATATATACTCGTTGACAGCTTATCTTGTCATCATAATGATCGTGATGGATCCTCGGAGCAGTTTACTACATCCTCCGGTACTCCTTTTCTAATTCTAGTGCTGCTGCAAACTCATTCTTCGTTGACAGCAGCAGGTATAAAAAGTTCATCCAGCTGATACAGAATTGTCTTTTTCTCCTCATTCCGGATCCGACATCTCCCCCACCCCGTCCTTTCGTTTTTGCATTCTATCGTTTCTTCACCCATTTTCACTCAACATTGTTTACGGATACCTTACTTCCTCCTATTATCCTCCCCCATTGATCCATCGACACACACACACAACACACGGCGTTTTGTGTAATACTCCTTTCTTGCGCGTGGACCAAAAAAAGTAATACAATACCACGACGATGGCAAACAACTACAGCAGCAACAGCAACAACAACCACTCTTCTCGTGTCAATCGATCTTCACCAGCAATGTCGCCGGCGACATTGTATGGTAATAGCAGCAGCATGATGATTGGTTATCAATATCAGGTAAGCGATTAATATAGACAATGCCGCCTCTTGTTGGCAAATGGGCGGGATGGAGGATGATTCGTGCTATCACCATCATCATGTGAGCCTTGGGTGTTGGTGAATGCATAACCGATACATTTAGATGTACTAATGATGCATCTTTTTACTTTTTGTTATGCATTCGGATTTTGGCTGTTATCTTTCCGTACCATTGATCCGGATCGGCGTACCGTTTGCTTTTGTGTTTGACATATCTGCATATGTATTTCGCCCCCCTCGTACTCCCTCCCCCCAAAAAAAACATCGACATGCATTCTCTCTTTTTGCCATTGACTTTTTTTCCACACTCTTCCTCCCTTCATCTCTTTTTTATCTTTTTTCATTTTTCATTCTTGTTTTACTACTACCATCATGCAGTCGCATCATGACAGCTGCGATAATTCATCATCACCTGTGGTGGTAGCACAACATCTCGATGTCGAGCAAAAGAACTACGAGTTTCCACCAAGGGCATTGCTTTTAGAGCTATCGGCACACCTCGACAAAGACAGCTACTATGAGATGTTTGATGAATCATCATTTGCCACTACCACCATGACAGGATCAAGCGTTGACCGCCTACCATCCTATGACGATATTGGAAGCGATGATGATGAAAAATTGGATTCTTACATTGGATCCATTGTATCTTCATATCAACAACAGCAACAATCCCGTAGCATACGCCGTTCACTGGTTAGCAGCTATGATGACGACCATCGAGAACGCAATCACTTGTCATGTTTTAACCACGACCATCATCACGAGAACGACAATGACGACCCACGCGTTCAACGGCTGATCGAGGATGATCGGCTATCGCCCCTTTTGCTTCCAGCACGAGCTGATCCGCGAAGAACATGTCAAACATCCTATGACAAGAGCACCCCAACAACAACAACAATCTCACATCAAGATTTAGTTGCGCCTTCTTCTTTTTTGAAATACCATGGCAACGCAGCAGCATCACCCTATCAACGACCGCATAAAGGTAATTGTCTTCTTATTCAATCCTCACACACCCCCAACCCTTCTTCACCCCCCCTTGCTTGTGTTCCCTCCCCCAAAATCCATATCCAAATATACATGTATGGCTGACAGAGAGTGCTACATGTAGCATCAAGGTGCTACGCTTCTTCGCATGAAGAGCTTAACCTTCCCAATGTGTCTCACAAGCAATCAAGATTGGAGGATAATACCCCATTTCTCGATGACAATGGCACCGACTTTACGGGTGATTCCAAGGTGATTGTCAATCTAAAGTTGCATGGTGGTGGTCATCCTCGTCACATGTCATGGTGCCAAGCAAGTGATGAAGGATACAATGATGATGAGGAGGAGGAAGAAGAAGAATTGCCCATGGAAAGTGTATCCGTGTTTTTACCCTTATCACCCGAAGAGCTCGCGGATCCTGAAATGTTACGCAACACGGCTGCTACACGTATTCAGGCCTTGTGGCGAGGCTATCGCACGCGTAAACAATTGTTTGGAAACAACAGCAGTCATGTATCACCTGCACAGCGTGTGGTAATTGATCTTGCACGAATATGCATGACACTGCATCGACAACAAACAATGCGTCTTGGCGAACGTATTGACATGCTGGAGCAAGAAATTGCGCATGAACGTGCCATGAGGATTGCATTTGAGAATGCTATCGAGGATATGGCACTCACCATTGACAAGCAACAAGCCATGGTGTGTGAGCGGATGGAAGAAATGCGTGAATCATACGAAGAACGGCTATACCAAGAGCAATGTGCTCGTACAGACCTAGAGCAATCCATGACCCACGTACTTGATAAAGTGCAGGAGATGCAAAACATGCAACAACAGCGTGCCAAACAAGAAGCCGAAGAAAGAGAAGCATTGCATTCTAAGCTTGACAATGCTCTTGCTGAAATCGATCAACTCAAACAACAACAACAAAGGAAGAAACAACCCACCACCACTTTACAACCATCATCAACACCACGTCGTGTCAACAACGACGCATCAACAACAACATCATCATCATTAGAAAAGCAACAACAACCACCAACATCACGACGTTCAATCAAGCCTTCATCCAACAAACCTGTTCGATCATCAACGCATCATGCTGCATCTACAACTACTACCACCACTCGTCATAATACCAAAAGTCTTAATCCTACTACTAATCCTCCTAATACTATCACTACTACAACTACAACCACTACTACTGCACCACCCAATACCCGCCGTGTTGCTACTACTACTCGTCGCAAGATACTTTCTTCATCATCATCAAACAAACCAGCACGCCCTCTTTCTCGTGTAGACACGAGACGATGATGATGATGATCATCATCATCCCCCATCCATTTTTCCTTGATCATTGTTCTATATCTGATTTCCCATTCATCCCTCCTACTAAACCCCCCTTGCATACATCAAAAAAGAAGAACATTTTTTCTCCACTCCAAATAAACATGTTGCATGCATCCTATGTACGTAGTATACTGCCCCATTATCCTTTTTCCGAAAAAAAAGAGATTACGGCATTCTTAATGCAGGGATCAAAAACAAGTCTGATGGCTGTTTTACGGGTTCATTTCGATTTTTGTTCCTTAGCCGATGAAAATCTCTCCCCTAGAAGAGTGTGAGGGCTCCTTTCTTTTTTCCATCTCCTGAGACACAGATTTTCCGCCGCTCGCATCCACCCTCTTTCCATTTGGGTAAATGAGACTCTTGTAAATGTGTTGTATGTGCACGCATGTATGCAGTGTCCTCCCCCCCTTTTTTCAGACACTTACCTTTACAAGCTGTCAACCTTGTTTTGACGTTCCAGACGCGGTAATATGCATGATTGGCATCTCACTCACTCACTCACTCACACCCCCACCACATGGCTGCTGCTGAACTGATTTTTATTTTCGAAACGTCTCACACCACCACATGTCCCATGGTGTGGGCTCTTGACAGCAGCGAAAGCATATGATACAATCCAAGTATGGCATCTTGTCATTCATGTTGATCAAGGGATACACATACGTACGGTAAAGAAAAAGGGGCATGGGATGAATTTTAACTTTGGGTCAACAAGGGCAATGCAATCATTAGGTGGCAAGATGAATAATGGGTCATTTACAGTGCTATTGTTGTCGTTGCATAGATATACTCTCTCTCTCTCTCTCTTCCTGTTGCCGAGAGAGAAAAAAAGTCATTCCACTACATACTTGGGTCTCCTTATTCAATCATAGACACTACTCATAGCGTATGCATGCAACGCATTATTTACCTGCCTCTATGATGATCGATAATCAAGACTAATAGCACCAAGGAATGCCTGTGCATTGCATCGCCTATCCACACTCCCAAGGAATATGACTATGGGTGGAAGTTTGCCTACGTGCGGGTGCCAAGCAATTAGGCAGGCGGGGCAAACATCACGTGACGAAGAGATTGCTTGTCAAAGCGATGGATGATGGATGCATTGTTAACTTTTATTTTATATCGTCGTTGCGTGAGATAGTGTCGATGTTAATAGTAGATTCACAAGGATAAAGTCAATTAAGGAATAAAGTTGATACTATGCTTGGGTACGTATCAAAGCTGGGTGGGGGCGGTCGTTAAACGGGGCAATTGTCAGCACTGGCTTCGTTCAGCTTCTTGTCGGTTTCTTCTTGATGGATGACGATCAGCCAACAACAACGACTACTACGCAAGCAGCAACAGCAACGACTAATGCAGCAACAACACCCGCTTCTCCACCTTCGCAAATGACAACAGCATTGACCAACGCGTCATTACCTTCTCCCATACAACCTTTGGCGTTTTCAAGTTGGTCGTACATGACACAGAATGACCAGGAGATATTCGAAGAAGCCCTTATTCCCCCAGAGAACTTCAATATGGTGTGCGAGCATGTTTATCGTAGCTCCTTTCCGAAAAAGAAGCACTTTCGATTCCTTGAAAAGCTCAAACTTAAGAGTGTCTTGTAAGTGGTCATATGCTTGCTATGCGATCCATCCATTTCTAAACAACCCCCTTGGCCTATGCTAGAACATTGATTCTTGAGGAATATCCAGAACAAAACATGAAGTTTCTTGAAGAACGAGGGATCAAGTTTTTGCAGTTTGGCATTGCAGGGAATAAGGTAAGGAAAAAAGAGAGGAGGGTGGATGCCACACCATATACTCAATGCATATCATAGGAGCCCTTTGTACAAAGTCAAGTGCTACTCTTTTGGTTCTATTGTATCCGATTTTAGTATTAACATCTATGCTCTCTATCTCTTCTTACAGTACCCGAAGACAAAATCAGCGCGGCATTAGCGGCTATTCTAGGTATGCATGCATGCTCATATCCATTGGACGTTACCACCTTCTCATTCATGACTCGTAGATAAACGAAATCATCCGATGCTTATCCATTGTAATAAGGGCAAAGTAAGTTGTTGTGTGGATCAGGGTACAAGGTAAAAAGTTGCAAGGATCATTCACCATCCATGTGTCAAAGCATCGAACAGGTTGCTTGATTGGGTGCCTGAGGAAGCTACAAAATTGGAGTCATACATCCATCTTTGACGAATATCGGCGGTTTTCCCATCCAAAATCAAGATCCATGGATCAACAATTTATCGAACTCTATGATGCGAATCAAGTTTGGCCTCTTGTCGATCGTCGCTATTTACCACGATGGCCAACGTTGGGTAAATAATAGACCCCTCATATCTCTCTCCATGATGAAAATGCGTATTAACACTTTTTACTTTAGCGGATCCCATGCTTTAACGTAATGTCTTCATTTGTTTATATAGTTTTCATCCATCCATCCCTTCGTATACATGTAAATACACGTTCCGATTCTTTCATCTCGGCAAAAATACACTTTATAATGCTGTAATGGGTAAAAGAAGTCTGTTTAAATATACCAAAGTTCTGTGTGATGGATTACTACTTGCTATCGCCTTGAAGTGTCTGTACAGGGCCTTGGTAGTGCTCTCGTCCATAAGTGAACCAAAACACCAATGACAAAAGGAAAGCGGCTCCCACCATCAAACAAGACCAATTCATAGTGATGGGGTTGACAGGATTAGTAGAGGGGAAACAAAGAACAACGCTGAAAAACACGACCCAGGTAACGGCAGCGATGTTGATGGGTATACTCCATCTGCCGAGATTAAATGGACCCTTGGGAAGCTTATCCCGAGACCAGATCAAGCGGCAAACGTAGGGTAGTCCATAGGATACATTGATACAAATGATGGCTGTACTCATGATAGCTGACCAATAAACCTTGCTTCCTAAGGACTATGTACAACGAAACCAACTTCAGTAAAAAACCCCAATACACGTGGTTGCGACTTCCTACCGGCAGGATAACAATAGCGCATATGAATGCTTGTAAGATCATAATGCGTAAAGGAATACGACGTTTGCTATGTAGCTTGTACCAAAAATGATGGTACGGCATGCATTTATCACGCGACATGGACCACATCAATTGCGCTTCTGCCAGCATGATGTTGCACAAGCATCCAAATTGGGTCACTGTGACAATCACCAAGAAGAATACAGCCATTTCACGGTTGGTAGCTCGTAAGAATAGGGTGGCAACAGGGAATGAGGATTCTTGAAGCTCTTTTACATCTTGTATGGAGAACAATGTACCAATGCATAAGACAAGTGCTTGCACTACAGCTCCCACGATACTAAAAAGAATCCCAAATGGACCACTACGGCTAGCGTTGCGTGTTCCTTCTGCAAGGTGAGCTCCATTTTCATATCCGATCTGCATAAAAAACCATGTTTAGATATCGGTGGGACGATGATCCAAAAAAAAGAAAAAAAGACGCAGGTACGTACCAAGCACCAGCCGGCTTGTGACATGCCAAGCAAGAAAACGAGGCCAACATTGTCCCATCCGGTATAGTTTTGGAATTCTGAAAACACCCATTTGCCAGATGGATGCGTTGGTGCCATAAGTGGTGTGGCGATTACAATAATGAGGGTTCCAATGGTCACCCATCCAACTGCACTATTACGTCAGAACCTTGCTTCCTTCCTTCCTTTCCCACCACCACCACCACCCACTTACTCATCACTCGATTGAGCCATGCATTAAACTTTAAGCCACAAGCATTCACAGTGATACCAAGGATAAGCACTGCAACGTAGATACCAATGTTGGCCCCTTGGTTATCAATTTGATAGGTATTGGCAATATTCCAGGTGGCTACACACACACACACACACACATATCATCATGCACAGATAAGATAAGAGAAGAACGGTGTAACCTATGAAAGCATGATTGTTTACAACGTACCTATTATATATTCGCCTAAAGAGTAAGCCAAAGTCATAGCCGTACTAAGCTGGCCAGCGAGGAAAATGTATCCACATATCCATGACATTACTAGTAATCTTTGTCACTAAGTTTATGGATCGAGCAAGAGAGTAGAGTAACTTACATGGTCCCCATTCTGGACTGCTGAGGAGATAACACCATGAATAAACACCCCCGTTAACAGGGAAAGCTGCATACGATCGTTATTACGCATTTTTTTTATCCAATAGGGAAATCCCGTACCTGAGAATAATTCTGACATGGCCAACGCTATCAAGGTAACAAAGGGTGCAACAACAACCTAAGGTGTCATTTGTCGTCAATAAGCTGTACGTAGCAGTAGCAGTAGCAGCAACAACTTACAAAACCCCAAAAGAGAGACATGGGCCCTCCAGCATTCATGGTGCCAGCAAATCCTACCAGCCTGTTGTTGTGTATACGTTAATTTCTCGGATCAAATTTATGATTGATGAGCTATGGTTTTTCTTTACCAGTTGGGTAAGACGCCCATGCAAGAGAATGCAAAACCAGCTTGAACAAAGAGGCTGATTTCACGATCAAATTCTTGCTTGTATCCAAGACTTTCAAGTCGTTTAGCATCGTCATCCGAAGGTGCAGCTGTTGTATCGACACTTGTATCCTCAATGAGGTGTTGCACAGGTTTTTCCTTTATGGCGTCAATTGTTGTGAGATCAAGGTTGTTGTTGTTGTTGTTGTTTACTCACATACCTTCATTGGGTATGTCTAGTAGTAGTAGGAGGGAATGTACAAGCCAAGTGGTATAAGGAGAAGGAGAAAGAAAGAAAAAAAGGGGAACAGAAACCTGGGACTCGGTGATCGGTTTTTGTTACACTTGCAATGCATATTCTTATTACGCCCAAGATACCGGCAGAACTCTACATACAAAGTTACCCACGCGCATGTGTTTTACACACATATGCCTTTGATCAGAATTAAAGCTGTGGGTGGTGTTTATCTCTCTCTCTATCTTTCTCTCTACCCGTCACCATGGCAACAATCAAAAGTTATTCCACTTTTGGTCACACACACACACACACAATGATCCGATCCTTCCAATCCAATCCATGAATACATGTTGTAACAATAGGAATCAATCAGGCTGTTGTAAGCACAAATATCCTTATTCTAATCCATCATGCTTTCACTCATTTAGATGATTGAGGAGCCTTGTTCAAATCTTGTTCGAGTCCCCAGACATGCGACTTAAGGTCGAGGTGTTCCATATTGAGCGTATCCTGAAAATTCGAGATTAAGTTAATCTCTATCTACCCTTTGCCGGCTTACAAAGCAGGAAACTTACATAGAGTTTACGGAATTCGGCCTTGAGATCATTGAGTTGCTGGGTGGTAGCAGCAAGTTCCTTGAGCTTGGTAACATCCTTATCCACAGCCTCAATCTTGCGAGCATATTCACGGACCTATGATAGCAATGAATAAACGCGTGGTCGATGTACTTTTTTCACTTTTACGTACTTTTTCGGTAGAGGTTTGAAGTTCTTGAACCGAGCTCAACAGGGAATCGGATGCGCTGTTGTATTCTTCCAAGAGGTAATAGTAGCCCACGCTGCCAGCAACAGTGACACCTAACAAGAAACCAACAAAACTAGACGCGTCGTTCAACAACAGCATGTTAGGAATACTATTCAATGGAGCGCATGTATGTGTATGTGTATGTGTGTTATGCATTACCCGCCACGGACAGCACCCACTTTGGGCTTCGAAGCAGCAGCCGTTTCAGTTGCATAGAATCGTCGAGTAGCAGCAGCAGCGGTGACGGGCACACGAGGGGCGATACGGAACAAGGAATTCATGGACTGTACAATGGACAATGGCCAGTTAGCAAGATGGCATGGTAGACATGAGTGTTTAATACATGCGTGTGTATATAGGTTGTGCTGATTACAAGGCGAAATACCTGCGTTTGTTTGTCAAGGACGTCCTAAAAATTGAGTCGCCTAACCCCTTGCCTTAGCCCCGACCAGCACCACCACCTCCAGCCATCTTTGCAGTGATTACCCCCATTTACACACACACATACACATTATTGTCATTTATTGGCTTGTCGGCTATTATCCATGATGGCAATGTAGTGATTTCAGCTGCACCTTATTAAAGGTAAAGATTTCCTTCCTATCTTGTTTATCAGGATTCGATGATGGATGACGCCCGCATCTACTATATGATGGTAACCTGATGATGATGATAGCTTCCAGATTAGAAGATAGCTGTTGTATGTCAACAATGTCCCTTCACCACGATGAATTGAATCGAAGCAATAAATACATCTTTAAAGGCACCATGGAGACTACGACTCATTGAAAGACGGCACTCTAATTGAAGGGGGTGGAACAGACTCGCGTGCCGTATAAATTTCATTTGACGCGACTGGCATATAATCTCGCGCCTCTTTCGTATACCCAGCCATGAAGAACAACTATGCACAGCACCTTGCCCGATTTGAAAGAGAGATCAGACCCCACATTGTAACGAAATATGACCGTCAATACACGCCGCATCCTACAAACTCAGTTACTGCTTCTCCCACCATTGTGTCAAACGATCCACGTACGTTCCCCCCTCCCCCCCTGAATGCTGGCAATGGCATGCTCTTTATTGACATACATAATGTGAATAGCTCCTTTTACACCTAACATAACTCAGCCTGTCACCACCTCTCGAAAGCGACAACGTGTGGAACCTGCCGATACTGTCATTGATTTGACGAATAGCACCAAAAGTCAATCCCTCAGCTTGAAAAAGCCAAAACGAGACAGGCACGACAATCAATCGACAACATCGAATCCTGTTGAATCATTGAACAATCCTTCCATGCGTAATAATAATACATCATCTTCAGTAAACGATCCCATCCCTCCTTCATATCCATCTTCTTCTTCTCGAACGAATACAAAGCCAGCAACAATCACCACCAACAACAACGACGCCGACGACTTTGACGATGATCTTCAATTCTTTACACCTTCACCTCGCTTGGCACCTGATATCACTCGTCGCACGTCTAATGCCAGCTTGTCATCAGTCACCACGATCAACACTACCGACCACCCCATAGAACCCATGGTTACAGATCTTGCAGTATGTGTCACCAAGTGTGTTTTTATTTTCATGCATAATTGATTTCGGTTCTCCCTTAGGTGAAGGATGATGTTGTTGGATTCGATGATGACGATGATGATCTCTTTTTTGATGATGAAGCGGCGGATTTGGTCAATGCAGTGGAAGCAGCTTATAGCAGCAAGGTAACAATGCATGGTGATGATGATGAAATAGCCAAACCTTCGGCTAACTTGATCTTGATAGGATTCAGTACCTAACCTGCAAAAGGAATTGGAGGAGCTCAAAGAACGAGAGATTGTGGCCAATCGAGATTGTGTGAATTCAATGTTCAATTCCCAAAATTCAGCGCAAACAAACAAGCTATTGGAGGAAGTGTAAGTTGCTTATGCACAACAATCTCAGGAATCGGCTCTTACGAGTAATGTTATAGGAGGGATTTACGGCAGCGGATTAGCGATCTGGAACTTACAATTGCCAATGCCATGGAGATATCAAAGTCGGCTTCATCCAGTTCACGTGAAGTGACTCCAATCATCAACAACACCAACAGCAACAACGACATTGTGATTCTTGACGACGACGACGACGACGATCTAAAACCAACATCAACAACAACCCTATATCCATCCCACTCTGTTTCATCATCCAATGTTACCACCAGCATGAATAACAATACCACATCGATGACAATGTCAAGTACCAGCAGCACACCAATGATCAGGCCATCATTAACATTATCATCATCATCACAACCTCCATCTCGCGGCCCTCAGGATCAATATCCATGGTCACGTGATGTACGCAAGGCATTGATCCACACGTTTAAATTGACCGAGTTTCGCACCAACCAGCTTGCAGCCATCAACAGCACGCTTAACGGTGACGATGTGTTTGTTCTTATGCCAACAGGTGGAGGCAAATCACTATGTTATCAGCTGCCAGCCATTATCCAACGTCATAAGCGAAAAGGAATTACGATTGTGGTATCACCGTTGCTTTCACTCATGCAAGATCAAGTGGATCAGCTTGTGAATAAGCGAAGTATCCCGGCAGCATTATTGAATGGCCAAATATCAGCTGAACGCCGTAAATGGGTATACGAACAACTTCGTCGACAACCTCCAGACATGCGCTTGTTGTACGTTACTCCCGAGATGATTAAAAAATCAGAAGCCTTCCTTGCTGCACTCGATAACCTTCATCGTCGATCATCCATTGCCCGATTTGTCATTGACGAAGCACACTGCGTCTCCCAATGGGGTCATGATTTTCGGCCTGACTATAAAGAATTGGGGAAGCTCAAGATCAAGTTCCCTGATGTGCCCTTCATGGCATTGACTGCTACAGCCAATGATCGCGTGAAACAAGATGTCATCCACAATTTACATATCCAGGGCTGTAAATTGCTCAAACAAAGCTTTAATCGACCCAATCTTGTGTAAGTTTTCATTACCTTTTCTTCCCTTGAATTGACTACTAATGCTTTATATCATTGATGGATAGCTATGATGTGGTACCCAGGCAAAGAGCACCCCATGAGAACATTGCACAATTTATCAAGGAGCATGATGGGCAATCGGGCATTGTATATTGTGGATCACGTCGACAATGTGAGGAATTAGCCGACAAACTCAAACGTGACTTTCGAGTCAATGCCACGCATTATCATGCAGCACTGGAGCCAGAGGAGCGTATCCATGTCCAAAAATCTTGGCAACAAGGGAAGATTCAAGTGATTGTGGCGACCATTGCTTTTGGTATGGGTATTGACAAGGCGGATGTTCGTTTTGTGGTGCATTTCACGATGCCATCTTCGGTGGAAGGATATTACCAAGAAACGGGTAGAGCAGGTCGAGATGGATTGCCCGCCAAATGCCGCCTGTACTACAGCTATGCCGATGTACGCTTCCACCAAATGTTGATTGATAAGGATGAGACGCATCGAGAACCTGAACAACGAGCACGCTTATTTGAAAACCTGAATCAGATGATGCGCTATTGTGAAAACAGCCTTGATTGTCGTCGAAAGCAAATCCTGAGCTACTTTGGAGAAGAATTCGATCCAGTTCAATGTGAACGCACGTGCGACAATTGCAAAATGAATCAAAACAAGAGAAAGGTGCTAAGGGATCGAAGCAGTGAGGCGATCAAGGTGCTCACCGTAGTGCGTGGTGTCTTGAGTCTTCCCAATGGAAAGGTCACCTTGGCTCAAACAGTGGATTTATTACGTGGCTCAAAGGCAAAGCATATTCGTGATAAGGGCTTGGATCGATTGGAAGGCTATAATTCTCTCAATTCTTGGATCAAGTTGGAAGTCGATCGATTGATCAAGCACTTGGTGTTTATGAAGGCGCTCGTCGAACGGAGTGAGACCAATGCCATGGGGTATACCTCAAGCTACTTGTTTGTAAGTTTCTCCTCCCAACCACATTTATACATATACATGCAACTCATATGCCCATCATCATTATTATTCTTAGCCCAGTGACAAGTTCCACGATGTACTTAATGGCAGAATGAGGGTCAATTTGGAATATACCGAGGTGAGTTGACGTTTGAGCCTGTACTATTGAAACATAGGATTGACAATTGCCATCATCATTCGCTTAGGATGCCGCATCTCGTGTATATACACCGCCTTCTGGATCTTCATCGTCGTCATCATCATCTGTCATCCGACAACTTACAGTTACCGGCAAGAAATGCTATAACGAATTAGGAGAGCTTCGACAAAAGGCAAGTATAAGCGATAAGCTTTATTGACGGCTTGTGCATTAACCTAGATGCCTTTAGGTTATGAAGCAATTCCGGGTAGCGAGACCAGCATCTATCTTTACGGATACAGAACTCAAAAACTTGGTAAAGATTTCGCTTTAAAACCATTGTAATGCCTCCTTTCTCACATTGGCTCTCTAGGCACAGACACTGCCACGCAACAAAGAAGAATTCCTGAATGCGGTAGAAAACAAAAACAAGGAGTCAAGATACAACCGGTACGGTAAAGAGTTCCTCAGCGTATGCCTTAAATATCATCTTAGTCAAAGTAATTGATGATGGTAATAAACATGGCCAACAAGGAATTGGAAAGTGTGGGATTGGTGACTTCTTTATTGGTGAATGCGGTCTAAATTTCATTAACGTTGATGTACCGTAAGGGAATCCAACTCCTCACCTCATCAATGAAATCATATGGAAGGGGCTGATGACATGTACCTGTACAAGCATCCTAAACATACACAACTTCATCTCGCACGTTGATCCGCTGGTTGCCTTGCCAACGCAGTTGCTATGCATATGGGTCTTCACGAGTAAGATAGGGCGTAAGTACGTGTGTTGGAGCGGGTGATGATGCACTTGGGCGTAGATGAGTACACGTCCTTTGTACCCAATTTCTTTCTTTATCCACACCCCTACCACCACTGCCATAAAACTTTTTATACCATTCATTCGTGTGTTTACTGTATTATACTTGTTAACGGATTGTAAGAGCTCTAAGAGGAAAAATCATGATGCTAACGCTTAGCCCATTCCCGTATCCTTGGTGACGGAAATGGTTGCCCGGATGTGACCACGAGGAAGTGATTAGCAATCCACACCCAAAAAGAAGCTATGGTAGTTGCAATTCCTTGCTATCGCCATGGGAGTGCACCATAAAGGCGATATCGGGTATGGCACTTTCAAGACGAGGCAAAAGACATGTCAACAAAAAGACAAACCTGGTGAGAAAAGAACGCGTGCTTGAGGGAAGTATTTTATTTGAACGGATGAGTTTCACGGGTACCGAGTTAAGATGTCAACAACTGCATGCCGTCTTTTTTCACTTATTACATACAATCATCAAGCTACATTGATGGCATTGTATCAGAGAAAAAGGAAAAGTGGCTATCAGCTGCCAATTTATGAGCTGTTACTGTAGAGTGCATAAGTATCATGCATCGGCCCCGCTTCCAGTAGTCCTGCAAAATGGGCCGTGTTACACACAAACACGTCCCTGTCTGCATCTTTGGCTCTATCAGGGTTATGAACAAAGACCACCTATCATATAGCATCACGCTTACAGCATATGTGAAACATAAAGACCTGGTGGATCGTTATGCTTTCCGGTTAAAGTGGTGACGCACCATAGCTCAGTATTGCTGGCAAATGATTTAGGTATGGTGAAATGGACCCCCTTGGCGTTTACTGTAACTCGCTCGTTGGGTGTCAGCTGTTTGAATGCAGGGCCGTTGTATGCATTTAAGATTCATGAATCCTTTTATTGCCTTTTAGTGAACCATTGGTGGTGGTCATTGATTATCCTTGTAAGCTTGCCCAGTCTTGACAAGCTCTTTTTGCTTGCTCATGTTGGGTTGCCCATGTATGACTCAATGAGGGTGGGAATGGGGTTGGCCATTAGAATGGGGATGGGTGTAGTGTGGGTGATGGTGCATATAACAAGGCTACTCTCTCTTCTAGTATACCATCATTTTCTTTGGTTGCTATGCTACAGCGAATGGATATTTCATCGTGATCAGAGGGATCTATTTGTGCCTTTTGTCTTGATGCACGTGATCGTTTCGTGTGAAAAACAGTGCCCATCTCACGGATAACCTTTCTACTGTTCTCTCATGAATCATGAAAACAAAGGGGTGATACGTCAACGTCAACCTCATTGCCATCTTCAAAATCATATGTACGCAGTCAAAAATAATACCCATCATCTTTGATATAAATGTCAAAATTTTTTATTGGGGCGGGTGAGAGCGGGGGCGAAAGTAGGAGGAGGAGAGTGGTGGTGGGAAGGGGGAGGTTGTAATAGTGATAAAACCACCTGATTGCCCATTGCGTAAATGTAGGAGCGAACGAGGATGATGATGATGATGGTCGGGATGGTGGAGGTGGTGGGCGAGGAGACCCATGTTGATGGTGGTGGTGGGGAGGGGGAGGTTGTAACAATGAAAAGACCGCTTGCCCATGGCGGGGTAAACCATGTCCTTGTAAATGCGGTAAAACGACCTGGTTGTAAATGCGGTAAACCACCTGTTCGTTCAAGAGCTCGTTGGCGTCGGTTACGTACCTTGACGTCATTACAGCGTGTCGTCTTCTTCATTTCTTGGGTGGCAAGGTTGGTCTCATCACCACTGCTGTGTTCATTACTACTATCACTGCGGCTTGTCTTCTTTAGGTATACAGTATAGAAGGTACAATGTTTTGGATTAATGACTACACGAGTAAAGAAAAGTGAACAAAAAATACGACAAGGATCATCCAAGCACTTACCCTTCATGATGGAGTGAAAGAAAGAGTCATCGCCTGTACTTTATGCGATTCTTCTCCACATGTGGGAAGCACCAACATCCAAAATGCAATTAGGCTGGCGACTCTCAAAGAGACATTGTCAGCTCTATGACAACAATCAATCAGCCAAGGAGATTTGTATAGGAAGGGTGTGGATGTTACATACCTTGTGGCTTTCTTCCTCAACACAGGCATCTCCTCCTCGCCGATGTAAATGTGAAGGACATATTATAGCCACCGTGCGGGCTGTAGTAGACCACCAAATCCAGCGTTGCATATGCACATCGGGACGTAGCTGTATCAAAAGGGATTATGAGTATGAGCTTCATCAAGCGACATCATTGGAGTTTACCTTAATAAAAGAGCCAAACACCAAATGGCAACAATGATAATGAACGTAGGATAACAAAGAGCACTAAAGATAATCACACATTTAGCCCATGAATCGCCCGCAGAAGCTATCCACCATGGCATACCCACGTCAACTTGGTCTTTGAAGGTGTTAGGCATCCAAAGGAGATATGATGGAAAGAAAGAGATACGTGAGAGTAAAACGGTGGGCGACAACATCCATCTTGTTTATATGTGCATGGTGGGCGTGGGTATTTCTGTGACCACAACATCCATCATCAAACAATTGCAACAATCAAATCAACTTGCTGTAGTCAACCGAGCAAAATTAGTCCTTGGTGAAGGATGTTTGTATGATCGTGTTTTTCAAAATGTGAGGTGGATGGCACCTTCATCAATAACATAATAAGCATGCCGACAGTTGAGAATCACCAATGCCTATCGTCTATCAGCATGGGAATTAGGAAGCTCCAATGAATGGAACGTGACCACGGGGACAAAGGGCGTCTTGGTACGATGATGCAAATGATCCAATCTCGCTTTTCCAACCTTGAATCTTTTCTATTCCCCATTCCAATCCAGAAACCAACCAAGTGATCCACATCTCACACATATGAGCTGATGTATGAAACCCTCTTCTAAACATCATGCTGAATCCAATTTTCATTCAATAATAAAGTTGAAGAATAGCATATGGTGATGTGGATATTTATCAAGTAAATAGGATAAAGGAATAACATTGCAAGTTGAGTAAGATACGGGGAATGATAACGTAGAGGCAACAGGGATAATTGTGACATTGTGTTCTTGGTTGCTGCTGTCATGAACATCCTTCATCCATGGTTGTGAAATAGCTGCTGCTTAGACTTGAGTATTCCAATGCCATCCATGGCTGTCAAAGATTAAGCCTTCTCGTCAATCCCACGCAATCCATCATCACCCTCAGTCGTATCCACGCGACATGATCCGTCGTTCCTGCTGACAGCGCGCCGAGTAACCAAAGTAACGTTCCAGGGTTTCCCATGTTTGCATCCAATCATCCATAACCGAAAAGACCTATGTGATCGCTGCTGATACGCTTTCCTTTTCGCATCCGGCTGCTGGTATCTCCCTTTCTCGATCATTCCTATCGCAGCTCAACCAGGTGAAGATCGCTTGTATTGCGGCACTACTCGATAGCTGATATGAATCATCCATAAGATCCGTATATGTATTGAAGCAAGTGGCTACACGTAAATAAAGCTGCTTATATACAATGGCTACGTGCTGTTCACGTAGAAAACGGCTGCAAGAAACTTGAGACAATGGAGTAAAGACGTTGCTAATGGCAACTACTGGTGTGTTTGATTGATCGTGTAGAGAAGGGTACAAGAACGTGTGCTGTAGTAGAGTGACAAGATCGTGAACGCTGTATGAGGCATTGCAATAAAGACCTTGCTAATAGCAACTGCTGGGACGAACGCTGTTACGATTGCTCGTGGCAGAGGAGTGTACAAGAGAAGCTGTAGTGCTATAGAAACGCGGTTGGTGCGGTGGAGCGTACACGCCATGGACTTGCCATTCAGTCATAGACAATCGGATCAAGACAGCTGTGGGATTGACATGATGGGTTGAAGCAGGGCAATCGTTCGCAGGTGGTGGTTGTGCTTGAATGGGCTAAGAGTTGAGAATGGGAGGAAGAGGGAAGAGGCTGGGTGTGGAAGACCTGGAAATCAAATAGATTTTTCTCATATTGGATGATACTTCTTTGTTTGAGCGTTGTTCAGTCAGATCCCATCGGATCAAGAAAGTTGAATGATGGAAATGATGGGCTGGAGCAGGACAATCGTTCACATGCATTCGGTTGGGCAACAAAGGTGAATGGGAGGAATGGCCTATTAGCTGGTAGTTTACAAATAACTTTGCAAAATGATTTTTGTGAAATTGGATGATGTTTTGTGTTTGAGCGTTTTTCAGTCAAAACCTCTCGGATCATGAAACTTGAAGGATGAACATGACGGGCTGGAGCTGGACAACCGTTCACATGCATTGGGATGGACAACAAAGGTGAATGGGAGGGATGGATTAATGGCTGAGTCAGTTTACAAATAACTTACCAATTTGATCCTTCTGATATTGGATGATGTTTCTGTGTTTGAGCGTTTTTCAGACAAATCTCATCGGATCAAGAAAGTTGAATGATGGGCATGCTGGGCTGGAGCAGGAGAATCGTTCACATGCATTGGGTTGGACAACAATGGAGAATGGGAGGACTAGGTTGTTAGCTGGCATTTTGAACTATTCCTAAACAGTGTACAAGAATCATGCATCGCCTGTGCTGAATGACTCAAGTTACACAAAGAAGTCCCTCTGCATCTCCGGCTGTATCAGGGTCAAGCTACTTCACAATGAACAACGACCACTTTTCATATAGCATCACGCTTACAGCATATGTGAAACATAAAGACAGCCATATCTCAAAACTTTACAATGAAGTGTGGGGTCTTTAAGAGAACAAGCTGCTCGGCTGAGTCAAAGCGATCTTGTGTCAAAGTATGAAGTTCATCGTGGCCATTCCCAGATTTCGCAATGTCGCCACCAGCCAAACTGGATCTGGGGGTCGACCTCTTCGACGACGACGAGCAAAAAAATATTTTTTGGGCTAATTGCGACATTGAACGTGCAACTTTCACACAAGGTGCTGTTGGCCAAGCCGAGCACATTGCTCTAATAAAAACCCCACGTTTCATTGTAAAGTTTGGAGATACAGGCACCTTTATATTTGTAAGCGTGATGCTATATGAGAAGTGGTCTTTGTTTAATGTAAAGTAGCTAGACCCTGACAGAGCAAAAGATGCAGA